AATTCAAGGTTCTTGGAGTGAAAGAAATGTCAACGAGGGTGTGGCAAGTCTGGAATGTGGCCTGCATTACCCAAAAAAAACTAAAAAAAAAAGCCAACAATGCGACAAAATAATTCGTCTGCTCCGGAATTCAGTAATTTCTCTTGACGGCTACAAAGGGAAAATAATAAAAAAAAACCCTAAATTAAATGGTCGGAGACAAATTGACGGCAGGATGAATTAGTTTTTTGGTCAATTCGCACAGATCGTTAGTTAGATCGTTGAGCTATTCAAAGACTCACAACATTGCATGCTATGCTTTTTAATACTCAAAGCTTTATAGTCTGAAAACGTTCAAAAGTGAAAGGATGATAAACCTGTGACTAATTAAGGTACAGTTTTATGATAACTGGTGATAACCCATAACTGAAATGAGGGGGTTAGTATTGTTGGTTGACGCGAGGACGATTTGCATGAGAAAGGACGAAGGGTTTGTGACCTCGTCACCCTCTCTTGCCTCCATTTTACGGTTGTGCATACTTACTCGACCACATTTATCGCTATTTTACTCAACAATGACAAATAACCTGTATTTATTATCAATTTAAGTTATTTACGATGAACAGAGAATCCACGAATTCCATTTGTAACATTCTGAAAAAAATTATTCGCATAATATTCTGCTAATATTAGCAGAGTAATAAATTTAAGATATTACTCTAGGTTCCATTTAATTTTTTATGCTTTTTTAATGGATGTGCAAGTTATTCTTCGGAGATATTATTTTCTGGAGGTCAAAGAACGGTTCATGATGATTAAAACAATTTTTTCATCAAAATATTATACTGAACAGTTGTCCCAAAAATGACAAATGAAATGACTTAACCTTTAGAAACACAGTTGATTTAAGAATTGGTTGGACCTAGAGATGAGCCAAAGGTCGGGAGAAAAGAAATGGTTTATCTGTCAGACGAGGGAAAAAAATCAAGAGAATAGTACGACGTCACTTATCAAGACCAGGAAAGAATGAGGAAATAGAAGAAATAAAACTACTGGCAATTGGTGTAGCACGCAAGCCTGTTGTTTGGCTTAAGACAATCACACGATGGCTTAAAGCAACCCTCAAGTAGCGAATTGGATTTTTCTAGTTCATATCATTCTTTTTTTTCTGTTCTCTCTACATTTTAGACTCTTATGCGTAAACCAAGCTCGTGAGAGCGATTTTATTTCGCGGCTTACCAGTCGCTCACGACCCTTGGATAAGACTGAATTTCGCTCGACTGCTTTTATCTAACGACTTATCATTTGTCTTTTTTGGATTTGCGCGCCCTTTACTTTTCTCATCTCACTCTTTCTCTCTGTTTACTATCCCGCTAGGTTGGTAGAGTAAATTTGCATTGAATCTACTCCCACATTGCGTGCACCGACTGATAAGTTCTCTAACTGGACTCTTATTCGATTTTTTTTTGCTGTTCTGCTTCGTTAGATTGCCAAGAAAAAACTTTTTTTGATACGGAAACTTGAGCAGTTTTTTTCCTCTTTCTCGTTTCCATTATGATATGATCTTTTAGGAGTTGAGAAATATGTAACTTGGTGAATTAAACGATTAACCTACTTCAAGAATAAATATTTTACCAAGCATATTATTCTTGACTTGGAACTCTCAAGTCTTATTGTTTACATGCCGTAAAACCCTTGTAAAAAATAGTGGATATTTATTTAAGATACATTTCGAGACGGGAATAAGCTCGGATACTAGCTTAACACCCCTTGAGTGTCATTTTTCTTTTCCACTTCGAAAACACCCCTCTTTTAGTCTACTTTCCCTTACATCTCTGATCTCCACTTCCTGATCTTCATTCACTTTTGCTTACTCCATATTCTCTCACTTCCGTTTTTTTCTTCAGCATTCAAATGCTTTCTTCAGTCACTCTTCATCATTGTTATCAAAATATTCCCCGTAAAATTCCATAAATTTAGCAGCCACATCTTCAGTGAATTCTTTTTTTAATAACCATTAAAAGGAAATTATTTCAAAAATTATTAATTTAATTACTAGCGAAGATTTATGTCAATCTATTGAAAGAATAGGAGATTGAGTTTTGATATTTCAGAGAATATATTCATCCAATGGAATTTTTTAATGTCAATAAGTACTTACATTTTTTCAATTTCCGTGTTCACAAGAAAAGTTTGACGTTTAAATTAAAATTTGCTCAGGAAAGAGATTTGAATTTCACACGTAAGCCTTTTTTTTCAATTCGTATTAAAGTTCCAATGTTAGCAGAAAGTATCGACCCCTTTGCTTTTTTTTCCTTTTTCAAATACGATATCAACGAAAGGTGGTAAGGGCTATCTCATATCACGTAACCCTATGATGTGAATCCAAATGGACAAGAGAGTTTAATGAAATCAGGATCGAGTTACGCGAACACAGTTATAGGAAAGGGGACGTCGACCATATTTAAAAGCACTGTGAGGAAACCTTGTTATCAAGAAATTCAATGCGGTGAACAAGTTTTCTGCATACTATTATAAGTTTAACTTTTCTCAGCCCAAAGGATAATTCGTTATTGATTTAAATAAGTTTCTCTGTTGTTTATTACTCATAAAAGTATCAGAAATATTGGTTTCATTACAAAACAAAAATTATTTAAATTCAGCAAAACAATTGTAGTTGTGTTCATTATTATCGAAAGACATTCATCAGTCTGGAAAGATATTGAAATATTGACTGCGCACTTTTTATTGAATTTTTTTTTTCACTCCAATTCTCAACGGATATATAGCTTGCCCAGTCTTCAAAGTACATGGAAATGTAGTCACAGGGGATCTAATTTTAAAGAGAACATCGATCTTGAAGAGAATATATAAGCAGAGGTAGATTCATGTTGGTAGTTATCATTATGTCTAATTTTATCATTCTACTGATGATAAGATTTTATAAATGAAAATAAAATTTTACAACTGATGACATAAATTCAAATATTTAAAGTTAATAATCAAAAACAACGTGAACGTAAATTTTTATCACGAATATTAGCAGTCATTTGATTAATCTAGAAGTAGTTTACCAACAATTCTGAAATTAGAGATAACGCAAATTAATTTGACTAATTAGTAACAATATAGTTTTATAGTCATTCAACACAATAAACATGACGAGATAATGGAAATATAGAAATTATGTACAAATAGGCCAGATTACATTTGATTCCTAATATTAGTGAACTAAAGCAGTATATGGTGCTAATCCTCGAAAGCTCCACGGGGTCTTCGAGTGTCGCTGAGTCACAATGTCTGTAACCCTCCAAGAGGGTTTGTAAATAGTCAAGCTCATATACCACATAGAAAGCAAGTATGCACAATGCCACCAGCATAAATCTGTTACATCCCTGGAGCCTTTCATTCTTTGACGGGATTATTTGTGCCTCAAGGGTTCTTCTTCCAATGAAAAAATCTATCCGGTTGCTTCAGTAAGCTGTCGAAGCTTTCTTTTAAATTAATTTACATTTCCCGCATCAGTGCCTGGGTTCTCTGTTTCCCTGATTTGATTGGCATTCAATGTCGTTTATTCTGATAATTATATATTCTCACCAACTGGATCAACATCTGCTAATTTCCTTATTTCTTTCATGATAGAAACAAACAATATTACTAAATCATTTTTTGACTAACTTATAAAGACGAATCTCTCTTAGCTACCTGTATTCAAAGAATAATTAGTGATTGATACATATCTTTTTACGCCTGCTGCCAAAATTTTCCCTGAAGGATCACAGGATCAGAGTCCTGTTGTATCTAGAGACACCAGAGAAGTGGACATAGGGGTTCTGTAATGGGCAGCCCTAGGGAATATGTTCAAGCGAAGTCTGATACACTGGATGAAGTTTCGTGTTGCAACATACACCCCAGGATCCAGAATCCATGTGACGGGCTAACATAAATAGCAGCGAGGATACCGGAATTTCCATTATATCGTGTCCTCATACATCCACACCATAAACAATATCATTGAACTCCGACAACGACCGTCCCATTAGATGTTTGCTGGATATTTATTACTCAAAGGGGGTATTGTTGACCGAGAATTCATGATACAGTGTCAGGAGATAAAGATTTTAATTTACGCGATGTCCACAAAAAAAAAATTTACGATTAATGTGTTTTTTTACACTTTTTGCTAAAGTTTAATATCAGCTAAAAATGATTTTAAAAATATTTAATAACTTAAAAATTATTTATAATTGTTATTGCCTATGATAGAGCATGGTTGCATTAACTGCGACCATTGCAAACACGTGGCGCAATGCTGGTACCCACACACGTTGCTTAGAGCATACACCAACTGGTTTAATTGCATTCAATTAACCAACCGAGCTATACACAGTCTACTTCAGTCTCTAGAGAGTAAAATTCAGTGTAAACAAATTCCCCTGAATATTTTTTTTTGATATTTTTAATTTAATTTGATTTTTATTCTGCTCTTTAAAACAAAAGTTTGTTTCAGTTATCAAATCAAATATTTTTGATTAAAAAAATATGATCGATAAATAAAATTTATTATTACAAATTATTGATAGAAGAACGTTTTTTATATGAAGAATAAGCTTGAAATATAAACTTGTTTTAGAATTCCAGCCACGTTCAATCTGTTTTAAAATTTTCATTGAATGCGAAAAAAAGTCAATGAAATTTTATTCCTCCTTCATTTCGAGTTTTTTTTTATTTTATGAAAAGACAAAGAACTATCAGGAACGCAGGTGTTGATACTCTGGGAAAGTGGTCGGGTTGGTGGGAAACCGAATATTTCATGAGGTCTGAGCAAGTAACTTTCTCTTCAGCCCACGTGTTACCTTTCTCTTCTTCAGATGATTCATTCAACGAGGGTGAAGCTATAAAGTTACTGGCGACGATTATCACACACTGAGTCGCCTAGAGCTCGCGACTCCAAAGTTTCTGCTGAAGCAAACTTTGGTGTTAAAAAAAAACAAAACCAGAATCGATTTTACTTCATCATTCTCAGCTTATCACAATAAAATTTTATTCTCACTTACATACATTAATTATTTTTTACAATTTATTTACACGACTCAATTTATTTTATTGAAGTCTAATACTTCATTACAAGTATTGTCTACATCCACTATGTTATCGGCACCTACATACTCAGCTATTTCCTGTTTGAGACTCTCTAGAATGTTCGATGATAGCTCTCGTGATCTAGACCAAATCATAGCAAATCTTTTTTGTCTTATATACCTAGTATCATTAGCACAGACTATCATTGCTGAGTATTCATCGTAATTCATTGTTAGTATCTGGTGTTGAAATGGTCCTTGAAACAAAAAATTTTCTCAATCTTCTGCTTTAACAAGCAATTGTCTTCAAAAATAGAATACTAATTACCGATAACATTAGGTGATCCATTTAATTGCCACGTAGCTAATAATTGTTTGTCATTCTGTCTACCTTCAACTGTCCACTGAATTCGTCGACCATTTCTCCAGCTTGTTGATGAAAAATCCATTGAGAAGTCAGTAGCATTTATCACTTTGACATCAAAGTGCAAACATGCTCCTACACTTTTGGTAACTGGTGTTCCAGCAACCATGTACCACTCTCCAACGATCTAGTAAAATTATAAACAATTCACTTCAACTATATTTATCAACAAAAATACAAGCAATAATTTTTCTGAAGTATTTACTCTTTGCAAATCCACATAAACAATGTCATCGTCAGTAGGACACTCATTTTTACACAAAACTAAAGCAAATACTAGAGTAATGAATATCAAAATTTGACGTGTAGACTTAAACTGTCGCCACATTGCTGTGGAGCACGTTGTTGCTACATGAGTATGACTGTACTGTTGATGAAGGAGCGTAAACATGTCCAAGTATGAATTATCTAATTTATCTCAAGCAGCAGTAGTACGCCCAGTTGACGACTCCCGGCTTTTTATAAAAAACGAACTGATAAAAATCCTTGATAAGATAAATAGAGATTATATTATTTGTTTATTTTATTGATATCAGTTTTGTTAGAAAACCTATTATTTGGGTCAATAAGACACTGTATTTACAAAATAGAATATTGCTAAGGCATTTCATCAATTGTGAAATTTTCAGTGCTATTTTTATTCATTTTGTTGCTTCATGTCTCCTAAATGAAATTGTTGAGTAACAATTTTTTGATAAAATTACTGATTATTTGAAGGTCTTTAAATCACAAAAACACACGTGAGAAATCTAAATATTATCTTCACCTGTTTAAATTTGTCCCTTATTAATTATTCTGTAAACTAATTTCTTAACTATTTATTTTAAAGGTATAGTGTAGATTTAATAAAAAAATTATTTATCAAGCAAAAGAAGAAACTTTTTTGATGAGAGAAAAAAAAATTGGTCCAACTCAATAAAATGAGATTTGAGGGAAATGTTGAAATGAAAATTTTTAGATAAATAATTTTTTTAGAAGAAATCCAATTGAGAATATTAAAGAAGATACTTTAAACTTTTTAATGATATTCAAGAAATTGCTGTATCATCATTTCTTCGAGAGTTAAAAGAGTTCAAAGCCATAAGTGACTTTTTTAACTGAATCAGCTTAATGTGGTTATTTCGTCCAAAATTATTTATCTGATTTTTTTTATAATTCCTAAATTTTTCTCTCCCAAATAACCATCTTATCTTAATCGAGGAAGTGATGAAGTTCCAAAGATTTCATTGTCTCTCATTATCTAAATTTTTCGCAATTCATTAATCAATAAATTGCACTATACCAATTGCTATTGTAAGCAATCAGCAATGAATTTGAGGTCTCATTTTATCCTTACGACCTTGGCTTATATCCAAAATGTCTGAACGATTTTTCAGACTTCTTTTTCTCCGATTTTCTCATTTCTCGAATAGTCTCTCCACTCTTTATATGTCAGCAAAATAAATGTCAAGGTAAGCCATCCTAATATTCCATTTCGCAAATTTTCTCTATCTCTTCATTAAAAAAAAAGAAACCAAAACATTATGTAAATTGTAGAGACTTTAAAAAAAAAAAAAATTAAAATACTTCTTAAATATAAATCCATCACGTAGGTACTTGAAAACTATAACTAAAAAGATGAAAGTCAAAGATTAATGCCCTTATAACTTCTGTATAATTATTTAATTAAATTCATCCATCATCAGGTATTACTCAATGTAGATATTGGAGTAGTCCTTTGTTATATCCTTTAGAAGCCAAATTCCTTAGAGTTCTCCTAACTCCGAAACTATCCCTCCAGCTGAGGATCATATCGATTGACTCTATTGTAGCCAGTAAATTCACCACAGAGATTTCAACCTCTAGATGTCATTAATATCAATTCTAACGTCTTCCTGTCATTGATGAATAAATAAACAAATAAAGTAATCAAGAAAAAAAAAGCAAGACATTCGAGCAGCATTTAAAGTGAACCAACAGGGAGTAATGATAACGGTCTGCGTGTAATACTCTCTTGAAACATTTGAGTCAATTATAGCCTTCAGGGTTCTTAGGTTGTCCCTAACCCTTATTACCAGCATCGAGGTCCAGCGTAAAGTGAATTAATTAAGGGTCAGAATGACTACTGAACCCATAAGACTTTCTCTGTCTACACCTTGCAAACTTCTGCTCAATATGATAGTATCTGTAAACTGAAAATTGGTTTATATTATACAATTGAACAATCAATTTTATTACTATGATATGAGATTATGTATTTGGTAAAGATTTCTTAGAATTCCTTTATTGATATTCCCAAACATCTCTGTTATCATAAAAACGTTTTTAATGATTATATATTTATTTATAGCTGAACTGCATGTTGAGAATACTTTTAAACAAAATCACCTCAATTTTGAAATTATTTTTCTGTCAAGTTTCTTTATCAATAGCACGTATCAAGGTTTATTGATATTCAAATGACGAATGATTCCATAAAAATGAATACTCTATTAAGACATAGAAAGAAAGATTTGTTCAACACGTGCTAAAAACTTGATCTTCTTATACAATAAAAACGATTAAATCATTAAATAAATTGAAACCAGCTATTCTATTTATTCTAGATTAAATTCAAATTTAATAAATAATCATCCAATTATTTATCCAGTTGGTTTCAGATATCAACATCATGAATAACAGAAAATACTTGACTGAAATTCTCTTTTAAATAAATTTTTATTCCACGTTTTCATTTGAAAATTTCTCGAATGCAGAGATCACACCTCGTCATTCATCACGGGTGTAAAAATTTTCACATTTTGTAAAAACTCTTTCGTTTCTTATCTCTCTCATCCACGCTGTCATGTCAATTAAACTTTTCCAAGCTTTCATCAACGAACAATGTGTGTCCGAGACAGAAGGTACTATTTGTGGACATTAAGCAGTGCGTGTGGTCGTATCATACGTAGTATATAATGTATTTTCCACAGAAATAGAGAAATATAATGCTGTAGAACTTAGTGGAATGATACTAACGGGAAAGTGTGGTGTACCACAGACCTAGTGTTAGGCAGTTCGTGTTGTGGTCAAGCTTCAAAAAGTTTGGACTGCCTAACAGTACGTCGTTAGCTGCGAATGCGTGTTTCTGTGGACTCGAATGTCAAATTTGATACGCTGTTCGCGTCAATTATGCACGTACATGATCCAACCCTCTTGGTATCTGCTTGGCAGGAGTTAGACATGACGAGATCATTGGACAATGTAGGGTGTGTTTGATGAATTATAATTTATCTGATCAACTGTTTTTTTTTATACTTCATGATCCTCTTTAATACATAATGAATTTTTTAAACATCAAAATTATTATCTGAATATTTTATGGTGGAAAAGATGAAGAAAGACATCATTAAAATCATAAATAAGATTTTTTAATTCAGTTTCCATTAAGATTCTTGATAACACCTGAAACAACGCCATTCTACAACCGGAAATAGAGTAAAGCTAATGTCCCGCGAGATATTAATGTTGGAAACTTCCCTAAACTCAATTTTATATTTCCGTTAGCTTGATTCGACTCTCATGCACAGTTCGAGCAAAAGGGTTATTCTGAAAATTCGCCCAAGTTCGACATGATAATAAGCCACGTTAGAAGTTTGACTCTGGTTCTTAGAAAGTTCCTTTTAACCACCAGAAGCTATTTATTATTTGAGTTTACATGAACTTGAGTAAGACTTAACAGAAATATATTTAGTCATCTAGGATTTTCTGAATTGAGCGATTATAGTAAAGTCTAGAAAATGTTGCTGTGGAAAATAATGTTTGTATTCAGAGTACAGAGGACAGTAAAATGGAGAGTCTGAGAGTAAAAAATACCCGGTAGAAGGGAGTAACAGAAAAAAGGGAAACGCAATGGTTGGAGGTGAGTTCTGATGCAGCCCAGGGCCATACATTGTTGCACTACTCGTGATTACGGTTCTTCCGTTGCACAACTAGACGCCGTTACATTTTCATCATCCAGAAGATGTCAAGATACCTTGACGCTTTCTCGTGTTATGTTTTGATGCGTCTGCTGAATTTTTTCCTCCATTTATTTTCACTTCAATAGCTTTTTCTTCTCCACTGATCTATTGTTCTCAGCATAAAAATATTCCAAGTGAATATTTAAATGAGCAACATTTTATTTATCACTTGATGATAAGTATTATCTTCTGCTATAAACTTTAAATAGACAGTCTTGCTAATGGAGACAAGAGGTCGCCTCATTTTCTAGCGTTTCGGTCCGTTTAGCGAACGACAAGGAGTCGGCGTTCCGCATAGATAGTTGTTGGCTCTCAGAGAATCACTAAGACAGCTTAGATGGTTTTGGAAACTCCCTTGACTCTCACCCTCTTTTCATCAGGCGGAACTACGCGCGTCGTTTCCTGAAACACGACTAAGAGTGGGTTTGCGTACGAGAAACTTCTAAAATCAATTAGCAGTCCCTCAAGTATAAGAGTAGAACGTGGGAAGAAGACAGAGAAATAAGAGCCAGATCGAGTCGACTTGTAGAAGTGAGGGGCGACGTTGCACCCTCCAAGATAAGGGGTGATAAGGACTAGTCGGCGTTTATCTCAATGGTGAAGCCGGTGGAACAATCAGAGCATTTCCGCGATAGTTTCTCTACATGCAATTCTATTCTACTTCTCAACAACTTCACTCGCTATTTTCGAGCTAAAAAGGGGGATTCAAAACAGCTTTGGTTACACCACAAGCAAACAACTCTTTCTCGTGGGTTCGACATCAAGACACCCAGCACGTGCGCCCTAGGGACTAGGGAGATTATTGCGAATGATTTAGACGACCCCTAGGAGCGTTATGTTGACGTTCATTTTTCTTCAAAATCCCTTTATCCTCTAAGAGTCTATAATGCAAGCTACATCTGGTATTTATCATTTTTATGCTCGTAATTAAAAATAAATTTTCTCGATATTTCTTTAAAAGTGGCCAAGTCAATATTTCCTAGCTTTAGCTCTAGCTTCATTAGGTTAGCCGCAGGTTACTGGTATTTTTTTTTTAATCAAAGAATCAAGTCATTTAATTTATAACAAGCTTAACTATAAAAGTGAATTTAATTTAATAGATCAACTGAATAGAATTTTATTATTAAAAAGAATAAATTTATCTCAGTTGAGAATAATCTTGTTAATCTTTTTCACTACTAAATTTAAAATCCATCTAATTTTTTGCATAGCAGAAAGTAAAGATAAGTAAGAATCGAATGTATTTTCTATGATGAAAAATGTAGTGAAATAGACTACTTTTTTATCCTTAAGCTTCTTAAATTCTCATCAGTGGATCTTCATGTCTTATCCAACACGGATTTCTCCTTTCACTAGAAAAACTATCCTAATTAATAATTAAAAGCTTTCTATAAATGAAATCTCGGTATAATACGTTTTTACACCATTAGCTGGAAAACTAGGAAGCCTGAAATCTTGTATCTATCTGAATGATTCATAAGGGTAGCTAGATAAGTCCTTCCTAAGCGATCGAAGGGGTGGATTTAAGTTTTAACGAGCCGTTGTCTGCTGAGATGCCATGACAGTCCAACTATGGAGTCCAAGCAAACCGTTGGCTCCAAGAGGCTCTTTTAGCATCTAGAACGTCTTGAGAAAGTTTCAACATCTTAAAACTCATTCGTGGCACTTGGTATAATTGAGCGCGAACATCAGAACCCCTACGGCACTGGAGGGTGGCTTTTTATTCTACCAATAGCCCTCCAGAGAATGGAGGTGAATACAGAGAGCACGGAATGCTTTGTCGAACGGCCCTGGATGAATGAGGAAATGACTGATAGGGATGGTAAGGTCGGGAAAAAGCAAAAGAGATGAAGTTGGAGGCTGGGTAAAATATGAGGAAGACAGATGATTAGAGAACTGTTGTACTAGCCCCCAGCTTTCATCACACGACCCTTCGCCTTCCCACGTCTCTCCAACTTTACTGGACCACCAAAGTTCGATGCTTTGAGCACTCATGCATGAACGACTCACTTTCGTGTACTTCTACATTCTCTAAACTTTCTCAATAGTGTCTTGATATTTTTAAGAGACCTTTTCTATTTTTTATTCAATTCTCTAGACTGCAGGGATTCGAAACTGTTAGAAAAGTGATATTATTTAAAGATTAAATTTTCATTCGCGTTCTGATTAATGATGTTACGTCTCGGACAATTTATTCTCTTGAAAAAAATCATCTTTTTTATTTTGCCACTCTATTATTCATCTCAGTTGATTTTTTACTCTTGAGAATTGGCAGCAGTCACGTTTGCAGAAAGCATTAATTTATTTTACTTATGTTGTCTTGAAAAGAACAATACCAAATTGTGCCCAAGTTTTTTTTACAAAATGCAGGAGTGTCAATCGGAAAATTTTATTCTTTTTTAAGAGAGAATGTGAGAATAAATCTCGATGATAAATATACGAGGGTGTGTTTATGCATTATTCTTTGCCTGTCTTTTTTTTTTTACTTTTTAGGGGTGCGTCACCCCTAGTTACACGACAGCCGTTGGCCTCATTTTCTGCGTACAATACTTTGCTAAATATCATTGAAAAATATTGTTAATCATCACATCAATACAAAAACAACTTCAAATTTAATTTTACTACTCTTTATAATTATTCACTATTCTCTTAAAAATGTATTTTTAAAGGCAAGAAAAATTCAATTACTCGAAAAAAATCTCTTTGAAATTTTTTTCTAAATCGTTTGAGAATCAAATAACTTTTCTCCAATTTAGAAGGAACTGATTGAGCCCAAAATTGGTGAAATGATGTTGAATTGCCAGGTATAAGTTCAATCTCATGTTCCAACTATTCCCTCTTTAAACTTTAACGTATTTATCTTCGTCTAGTTGAAGCTGTAGAAAGGGTCCTCACCCAAAAGAAGAAAAAAATAAAATGAACCTAAGAATTCTATGCTATTCAAGCCAACTCTTTGTGTCTTCAACACTTCAACAAAAATGATTGTTATAAGAGACTATAAACACATTTATTTATATCATTTGCTAATGAATATAACACAAGGGCGGATAATTGTTTTTTGAAGACTCAATTGTAATTAACCTGTTGCCAAGCGACTAGGGTTCCGTACTGGTTTGTATTAAGTGCTGCTGTCATTCCGGATGGTTGGCTCTTCAACGATTCCTCAACACATTTAGGGAGCGACCCTCGTCATTTTGAAATTGTTCCGCGATCCTAGATAGTTAATTATGTCATCAATAATCGCATATTATAGAGTTTACTACTAAATTTCAGGAAAATATACAACTACCAAAGTAAAAAGATTGAAATTCCCGGAATAATGAAATCCACGAACATGAATCTGAGCATCCAAAATTTTAATATCAAAAGTTTACGAACTTTTTGCTGTCATAAAGATCTCGAGAGTTCTGCGAGCTCGTAATAGGCATTCTTATCATACTTAACGAAATATTACAGTAGTATTATCAATGCTACATTATTACATAGCAATATAGTTAAACCATGTTCAGCAAAGCCTTAATCATAAATCGGAAATCCCCTACATAAACCTTGAGCATTCCAATAAATGAATGGGGATTCTCTAGTTTAATTGGAGATTACTAAAACACATATAGTAGCTACTTCGTTAGCAGAAAGGTATTTTATGAAAACTACAGAAAAAAAATTCAAGTGAAAGAGTAAAAATACCGAAGGCCATAAGCATCTACGTAGGTCGAATTTCCGATTTATTCAAACCACCAAATACTTGGAGCCCATAAAGAGGATGAATGGGATTGTGGTGGTTGTACCAATGCTCAGAGCTGCTTTAGGGTTCATGAAATACGTGCCACCACCCTCTTGGCCGCGACTTCTCTACCCTCTCGTGGCTCTTCCTATTTTCTCTTCGCTCTCATCTCTCTCATCATGTACATTCTCCTGCTATTACGCATTTTACTCTCACTACTCTTGCTCTTATAATCGTCTCTCTTCGTTGTTCGGCCCCACTTGAAACTCGGCAGGGTGGCCAGTGGTATTACCATGAATTTCCATAGCATCTCCCTGTGTTCTGAACATATTGCAGTGCTTTGATTTATGCGAAATATTTGCTAAATATTCCGTTTAATCTCGGCTTCGCGGAATCCGTGCGAATAAACGACTGATGTTCGTCCTGGATGACAATGATGAGGTGAAGAACATATGAATGAGGGGAGCTTCTACTACACTAGGCATTAGGGCATGATTTATTACTTTCGCAGATGCTAAGCTTTTGATTTTGAATATTTTTATTAGATAACTTTCAACTACTTCCTAACATTCATAATAATTTTATTTTTATTTTCGACAATGTGTCATCAACAGCAGGATGATGAAAATAATAAATATTCAAATGTTTGCATGAGCAATCATAAACCAAAGCTAGCAAATGAACAACCTGAGAGTGATAAAAAGCGCATGTAGTGTGTGATCAAATTAAAGCCATCAGTGTATAAAAATAAATTGTTATCTGTGTATGTGACTAATGAAACATGAACACTTGATATCCTTTATCAATGTCCATATATCACATGATATAAATGTCATTGTCCGTCGATAGTGTAATTCAACGTTCCAGTTTGCATCTACCAAGCACTCTGGCTCAAACTTATGTTCATTCAACTGTGTCGAAGTTGCGAAAATCGGCAAAGGAATAACATTGGACTAGAACTTTGAATTTCAAATATAAAAGTAATGCAAAAATAGCAAATTTTTTATTGTTTCACTTACTATTCAAAGCATGCTTGGCTAATTTCAAACAAAGGTTTAAACCGTCTACAACTCATGTCTGAAGCTTAATTCCACTCACGTGCATATGAACTGTCTGTCTGTGCGAAATCCGTAAGCATTATTGTAACAATGTATTCTGTCTATTTAATCCATGCTGGTTGAAGAGAGATATTTTTTTTCTGATTGGGATTGGTTTTAAAGATTCAATATTATTTTTGTGTTCATTCGTTCTCTTATGGCCTAATGGCTGATATTTTCCGTCCCGCCAACTTGTGTCACTCATCGGCCTTTTTCTCATTCGATATCTCTCACAACCCTTCTTCCTGTTCCGGGGATTTTGTTTTGTTCGTCTTCCATTTCCCACTTCACATATTCATATACAGCAGTAGTCTTTGCTCACAATAAACGCAGGCCATTTGCATGTAGGGTTTTGAAGCGGAATAAAATACACGTCGATGTTTCTCCCTCTCACTTCTACTCTTCAAAACGCCTACATCACGTCCATACTCTTCCTATTTCTGCTTAACGTCCATCCTGAGCCTGAAAACTAGCAAGCTTGGTCGCTTCTCATCCTATATGTGTTCAGGGTATGATAAGCCGCCCCCATGAATCCTCAATTGTCCCTATTTATACGCTTACATATAGCTGCATCTGTTTGAGTAAGTTCTGTTGAACAATGCAGCTGAATAGTTTCGATAAGTGAACTTTTTTTGGTAGACAAAAAATATCTCTGATGGATCAGCTCAGTGCAATTCTTCAAGTGGCATAAAATACAGTGTGCTATTTATCTAGAGTTAAAAACTTTTTTGTTCTTTAAAAAATGTTTGATAAATCATGGTTATTCATCTTGGTTTCAGGTGTCGCTTTGTGACGATTACAGTCTTCCCGTTGACTTTGTGAATAAACGACGTCCTGCTAGTGCTGCTGCAGTTACATCTACGGTACAGTGGGCATTACCAAGCCCCAGTGTAGAGAATGTAAGTAGCTATTTAACTATCATCAACTGAATAAATCATGAAAATTATCATTCAAATATTTAAATGAATTTGGAATGTTCAGAATTACGTCTAGTATCCTTTCAAAGTTGGTTTTGCGTCACATGTGCTTAGAATTAATTTTTAAGTAAGTACCAGGTTGAATCTGAATTTCATTGATGAGTTCTTATAAAATTCATGACTTTAATATTTTATAGAAGCACATATTTAGTACAAAAAAATCGTGTTAAATATTTCCTTTGATTTATTTTTATTCATTAAATATTAAATTTATGCTTTGAAGCATTAATTTTGTAACTAATTAGTATTTTATAAATCTGATTTTATAATCTAAAGAGATCAAATTATATTTCGATCAAGTCAATGAAAGCTTTGAAAACAAATCCAGTAATTACGAAATCTCTCTTTATAGTAAAAAATCCTTTCATAAAATCCAACATCAGTTTTATCTCTATTTAAAATATTGTCAATTCACCTTGACTGCAATTTATTTAGTATTTACGTGCAACAGAAATTTCTCGATCAATATTGAGTTATAAAAAACAAGAAAAAATTCAAAAAGAAAATGAATGAAAAGTTTCCAATAACCTAGGGCTATGATAAACCTTAGACAGAGCAAAATCTTGTGTGATGTTGATGAAAAGAAGAAGCAGAAGTAAATGTAGGAGTAAGAAAATTTGGGAATGTTTGCGGAGGAATTTTTCTCCCCATGATTTCCTGGATGATTCTGATCGCAGACGCGACGTATCGACATTTTCAGTGCAATCATACAGGCAGGAGAAATATAATTATGAGGGTGACAAAATACCTTTGGGGCATTGAGCGTTAGGGAAAAAGATCGAAAGAGAATGGGGGTAAAGCATGGTATGAGCGTTGATGTTGGTGAGACCCGTGACTTCCGGCGTTGCTTATAATTGCTCCAGCACTCAGTGCTGGGTGCTCGGGGCAGCCTCAGGCACTACGCTAACTGTTTCTTCTGAAATATTACTCGATTCTACTATCCTCACCCATTAAAACCGAGTATAAAATACTCTTAAACACTTAGTCCGCATAATGTCCACATGATTTTGTGGGCTTTCGGTTCATCTAATGCAAATATTTGCTGCTCTTGGTGATCAAGAAAACCTGGAAGGTCTTGGAATATTCAGAAAAATTGAAAGAGGTTTTTTTATCTGAGATTTATGATGTGTAAATTATTTAAAATAAATTACGAAAAAAATAAAAAAGATTTCATGATAGATTAGAAAAGCTCAGAAATGATTGAATAACATTATCTAACATCAAAAAATATCTTTAATCATTGGTAACATACCAATAATATCACGACCCTTTTCCTCTACCCATAATCCAATGAAATCACAGATTTCAAGTTGATTGAAGTAGACAATAAAATAGACTCATAAAAAATGATCGTCCATACAGAATCGTGAAGCATGATTTCATGGTGCTAGCAAGAGCACACTTATGTAGCCATTTGAGCAAAACGAGGGAAAGAAATTGTTGAAAATTGTTGGAGGTTGGTCGTAAAGAGGGAGTAAACAACACCTGGGAAATAAGAGACAAAAAAGTTTCCTCCAATAGTCTTCTTCATCGTTCGCCTCTTTTTCTCCTTACCATCCAGTATCGTATACGAACCAAGCATATTACGTACAGACGTCTACTTCACTCAAGGGGTCGAAGGAACCCGTTATGACTGAGTCTTTGATGCCTATTTAATACTTGGCTCCATTTTGAACACCAAGTTCACCAGACGCAACACACATTTATCATTTTTAACAAAAGCTTTAAGTATAGGCAACTTGAAGACTATAAAAAAATATGGAAAGAGCAATAAAGCACAAAGGGGAAAAGGTACAGGTTGTTGGAAGCCACGGAGCTTTTGGCAAACCTGAGACCGTGAGAAGTTGTAGCTGTAGAAGAAAGCCTATCTCTCTAGTGTTCTCTTTATTTCCCTTTTGCACGATCAATTAATTACTCAAGAGAATCTCCCAAGATTATTAATGAGCAAAGTGAGAGCTTTCTTCAGAAAGATGGCTATTATTTATCATCTGAGTAAATAACCAGATTTATTTTATGAATCATTTCCATAAACTTCAAAGATTTTAATCGCTTACAATAAATGTACAGCGATAAATATTTATCCAAGGTATTATATATTATCATCATGTAAATATGTGGATGCAATAAAATTCAGAGCTATTACACAGGCTAGTAATAAGCATTCACAATTATAATGCAGTGGCTAGCATAATCGGTTTAGGGTCCTCTCGATGAATCGATGGGAATTATAGTCAGTTCGTAAATACGCAGCCCCTTTTGGTCGACTGGAATCGAGAGGGCTACAAGTTTTACTGTTCGTTTACAGATTTACACAGCGTATGAATTGCTCCCAACGTTATTTTACAATTTAATCAACTTTATTTTTTATCTTTCACTCTTTTATCACGTACTTTCCATCATTCTCTAAATGTTTTAAAAGATTATCATACTTAGTCTGATATAAATTAAATTCCAATAATACTTACTGTTACTGAACTGCATTTGCAGGTCAAATAACTATTTATCTTCAAAATCAATTTAAACATTCCGTGAATCTTAATGTGATGAAAATGAAATTTTGGGTTGAAAATGATGAGTTTTTGATGGAATTTTAGTTGAAGAAAAAAAAATGTTGGTAAATTTGAGTAATTTAAAAAACTGAAGAAAATCAGAGGTGCAATGGCACTGGCCAATGATGTTTCCGAATAGCCTGAAGGCTCGATATAACTTTGACAGGAAAAGAGAAGAGAATTCCAATTTCGTGTTCTTCCAATTTAAGTCTACTTGTCTTGCTCACTGTCTCCATTCTTGCGAAGTTTCCACAGTAACTTTCACTCTTTTTTCCCCATCTTTCCGATATCTTTAGCCACAGAAGAGAAGAAGACTATTCACAGCAGTCGCCCATTGATTTTACGTTTCGTTTCAGAAATCACGGTTCACCCTCCTCTTTAGACGCCATTGTTGTCATTATTAGTATCTGCCTCTATAAGAAGAAATTTTCTTGACGAAACTTCTGAATATTCGTATAGCCTCGAGACATATGACTGCCCTCTGCTCTTGGATTAAATAAGATTCCAGTATATTTTTTTAAATCAAGAAATACCTTTCTCCTGTTACTGCTCAGCAATTAATCAAAGCTAACGATCTGTGCACAAATACCAGAAGCTTATCAAATCTTTTCCTTAATTTGAATTTATCCAACCGTAACTCACTTCATTTTATTGCTCTCAATACATTTTAGCAATCATTCGACCGCGTTGAAAGGAAATATTTCACTAAAAAATAGTATTCAAAAGGGCAGAGAGACAAATTGATAATTAAAAGAATCTTGTGTGGTAATAAAAGTCAGAATGAAAGGAAAAAGGATATATGAGTCATATGGGGTTACGTGTTTTTCTCGAAACGATAGCTTAGGGAGAGGAAAAATGTTTACCCTTGGAGCCTGAGGAGATATTACCACAATTGCTGATGCTCCAAGCTGAAATTGTTTAGCAAAACTGGACTTCAAGTGGGCAACAGTAGTTCACAGACTTGGGGTAGAGATAGAAACACTGGCAATAACCCTTGCTTTGTATCTCTGAGGGATAGCATCGTGACCCAAACACGCACCTCGGACTTGCTGCCAATTTGTATTATTATAGCTGTACTAGGGAAATCTGATAACTTCCTCTGATAATATTAATTTCATTTTAATGTTCATCATGCTGTTGATACGTTATTACTACGAGCTCATAATCTAGCAAGTCTAGATTGCAAGCTTTAATGAGTTTTTTTTGTAAAGCTTAAAAATTAATTTTTATGTTCCATTCCTTAGAAAAAACTTCTTCCAAGTTTAGTTTTAGAAAGGAAAGAATTTTTAAAGTTTGAATATTATTTAGAAAGGCATCATAACTTAGGGAAAGAAAAGTTATATTGTGAATTAGAGTTTGTATAATATTCTTTGCATTGATGAATCATACGGAATTGAATGATTAATTTTGATGGTGATTTTTCAGGTGGAAGTTGAAGTAGTAGAGCAATATTGCGATCCACGGGACAGCAAAAATCGAGCTTACGTAGAACCAGGAGCAGAAACATCCCTCCCTGCAATATACAGTAAAATAAATCGTAACTACTGTCGTCCCTATACAGGTAAGCTTTGTTGAGGATTGTGTTATCGAGATTATGGAAATCCATATCGAATGTTTTTCAAGCTATCGGTTATATTTATGGATCCAACAAATTCGCGAGTTTTCAAAAACAATACACCCCCTGGTACGGTGATTGAATAATTTTTTCATGAATGAAGGGTACAAGACTTTGAATTTCAATAAAATGACATGTAATACATCAGAGTCTAAAGTTTAAATCACGTTATAGCTATGCCTACTACTTTGCGAGTGACGGGACTGGCTGAGTTCTTACAGCAAAAAACTTTTTCGTCCTAAACCCTCCTCGTTTTCGCGTGATAAAACCTCTGCCCCTCTTACTCCTCTCGAAAATCCATACAAGAGTAGAGAAGAGCGTGCAATAAAAGTTCAAGTTTAATTTTAAAGCAACCCTGCATCGTTCGTTCATGATTTCTCTAACGTATAACCACTTATACGATAAGAAAAGTGTGGCAATTTAAAATTTTTTTACTTAAGTATTAACTTTTACAGTTAACCAAGGATCCTTAGAAATTTCATGAGGAATAAAAAATTATTTTAAAAATCCTTTTGATTGCTAAAGTTGAGCTGCTTTATATGGGATAATAAATAACTTATCTCGGATGAATTTGCGTTTCAACTTCAAGTCAAATATGCAGATTGTTAGGGTGATACGAAGCCCAAGTAAACAACAATGACATTTGCATCCTTATCATATTCATGACCGTTTAGGTTTAAGAGTCCCTAGATTTTCTAACGCATCATCTTTCGACATTTGTCAACTACACACACACCCACTTTTCTACAAGCTTTTCTAAGCAACAACACAACAGCTTTTAAATATTCCTTTGTTTAGACAGAAAAGTTATCTGAATATTTTATCAAATTTCTTTATTTAACATGTTAGTATTACATAGACGAAACTAGATAAACTTTTGTAACATTTATGTACTTTGATATTGAATTTCGTTATTCGAAAGCAAAGTTTACTTTGTCATCCAACAACACCACGATACGATGAGTTTAAATATTTTTTAACCACTTCCGGAACATAGGAGTCATTCGACCGGACTAGCAACCTTGCTCGCCTCGATTATTCCAACTTTTTGAGTAGGAGCTTTTGTGTACTCTATGGTACTTGCCAGTGACACCACATTCACTATACGGCCGACTTTGCTCCCTGCTTTTCCATAATATGTCGCATGATATTTAATTAAATTCCCCTTCCACACAGCATCCTCAACGTTCGTCCCTTCTATCCATTTCTGCTGGTTTGTAAAGTTTCAAGGGTTTTCCTGAACAGCCCTTGGGACTTATTAAACGTTAGAGCGATTATGGATTTACTTTTTATGTTATCGAATTATTTTAGATAATTAAAAATAATTTTCATCGGCAGTTAATGATTGTAATATCAAACCCTTCGGTTTGGATCCTTATTTCAAGGATCAGAATCTGAAACAAGATATCGTTGTTGTAAAAGCAAAAGTCCCCTTCTTTTTCTGCGGATTTCTCTGTTTCCCTCTTCTCCGAAACTACCCCATTTCAATTAATACTACTAGGTGACTTGTACCTCGTTCCGCGTCCCCGAGCAGTTATCGTCAGCAGCTCGTTGCGTCCTATGCAAATGACATGCTGTCCGTTCGTTCGTCGTTTCCTGCAGTGATGCGTAGGGTCGACACTCCCTGTCCTGAAACTTTGAAACGAAATGGTGAGAATGTAGTGACTCCAGAGCTTTTGTTAGACATACAATTCTGTCCACTCCCACTAGCATACATTTATACACTACTTTGATAATATTTCTCTACATCATGTTGTCCTAATTGCTTGTCTGTTAAAATTCGCATTCGTCAAGTAGTTAATTAGAATACTTGGCTTGGAATTTTAAAGTTTCTTCATAAATTTTCTGTCATTTCATCAACTTCCTTTCTCCGCTTAATTGTTAGTGGATAATAATTAATAAAAAAAATTAATATTAGCTTTATACTTGAATATAAGACCACAAATTTTTTTCCAGCTTCATTATATTCTCTCTCCAAACCACCGTCGTGCTAACATATTTTGTCATTAAAATTTTTTTTTACTAATGAAGCTAAAAAAAAAAAAACTTTCTGATGATCTAAAATGTTGAAAAAACACTTGAGAAAAATAACTTTTTATTTTTTTTCTGATTAAAAATTAAATCTTTTTTTTTTTTTTTGTTCCTTAGATGACAATGAAAAGTTTTCTATAGATTTTACCAAGGCGACAGTGTTAGTATGCCATAAGCACCCAAAAGGAGCCTGGAAGTTGTTGGATCGGCCGAAAAGATGAATAGTTAACTGCGAAGTAGTCGTCACCCCTTTCATCTTTCATTTCATCATGTCTCTACACCCTTCCCATCCACCGATCTTATTTGTACGTTCTGTGTTCTATTCACTCTTTCTTTTCTCTATCATAAACATGGGAAACGACATCATTTGCAAACTGTCAACGTCATGACACATTCTTACCGCTGGTGAAATTCGAGGACGTGATTTTCCACCGAAATTTTAATCCAAAATGCAATTTCACCAAGTTGAATTTAAATCAAGAGCTCCAGGGCCTCATTCAAATACTTTGCAACAGTCGAAAATAGACTTTGCTATTGAATTGATTTCAATTGCTCTTTAAGCTGTCTTTTTTTAACACAGATGTTTTTAAATATTCCATAAATTTAATAAATAAGATTTAAATAAATTTATCATTTAAATTAAAATATTTATTAAAATGAAAACAAAATGGATATTTATAGACTAAAATACCTGATATTATTTTAAGTGCTCTTCATTTTTTTCTAGCCATATTTAAACTTTAAATCATACAAACAAATTTTATTACACTTCAAAGACAAAGTTAGTGATTAAATATTCCGGAATTTATCATATTATTTATCTCCCCTGAAACTCATCCAATAAATGACATGTATTTATCACTTCCCCATAAACAAAACAAGCTATGGACCATCCTGTAATAATTTAGTGACAAGACAAGTGATGATTAAACGTGCTCAATTGCCATCAAAGTTTCAATTGACTTCAATGAGCTCTTAATGTGACGATGAATATGAAGCAGTCCCTAAAGAGAAAGAGTTATCGAAAAAAAAAAGAAAAGTGTTGAATAATAAACATCACGTGACAGGAAATGATTAATTTACATATAAATTGAATAGTCGCACCGTTAATAGTTCTATGGCTGAAGTTTTTTGCAGGTAAATGATAATGGAATAAGAGAAAGTTTAATTTTATAGCATTAAAAGTCTTTTATGAATGAGTAGGCGGTTCAATTTTTTTCTACTCAATTACTCTTTGCTTTTAGTAATCTTATTCTATTTTATACCACAATAAAATCACTTCAACTCTCAGTGAATTTTGCTACTTTAATGATAAATAAATAAAAATTTTCTCACTAAATAATTTTCACAAATTTATCAAAACCAAAGTCAATTAAAGAATGAAAAATAGACACTAATTTGAGCTCTAAGTGTAAACTTTAGCTCATGATTAAAAAATATCCATTATAGATGATGAATTACTTGTTGATATTTCAGATTTTAAAATGAATGAATAATTAAAAAGCAAACAAATATTATATAACTGATGGACGTAGTGTTATTTATTATCAATTTTGTTCCGACAATTTAATTAAAATATGCCCAAAGATATTTTGAAATGTTCATTTGCAATAAATGAGATTTATTTAATGACAGAAAAACAGATTTGATAGTAGTTAAATAAAAATTACATAACTCTAGTCCATTGCAACATAATTTTAAAGCACTCAACCGAAAGTAGAGATTAAAGTTTTTTTCTCCCGAAAAAAATCTCTATTTACAATGATTTAAGCTTCTATCGTAAATTAAACTCTATTGTTTCATGTTCATGTAGATTGTAAAGCTCTATATAAAATGACGTAAATATTGCAGACATCCTTGGCTGTGGTCCAATATCAAAAATGACTATTCAAGATGGGCAGAACTAGTCTAACCTAATGTTCATTCTAGACTTTATCTTACAATATTAATTCATCCTCACTATCTCACAATTGCTATTGGAGAAACATCACCTTAAGCGTTGAACATGACAATAATTTACACACAACTACTTCCAATCACAAGATGTAAAATAACCAGATTTACAACTGGTGATACTAGAATTGAACTCATGGGAGTTTCCTTGACAATTTTGACGTAGCTCCTGAGGCAACAACTAGAAAGGGATGTAGTCACCAGTTGCCTGTGGCCACAGTTGTAGATTTCAATTGATTTGTCTGTTCCGATATAGACGAGAGTCATCCAAGGACCCCCATTCATATGTCTAAAGCGATAAGCACAGAACATACAGATACATCATATGATCTCCTAATTCATGGAGCTAACATTGATTTTATTACCACTAAAACCAATCGATGCATCTACACTTAACGAGCAACAAAATCATCTCCCAGTCAGTTTCAGTAGTCGTTCGTGGTCTCTAGTAGCTGTTATGCATTGAACAAAATTCAGGGAGTGAATGAGAACGAGAAAACAAGATCGCTACAAGTGAGACAGGATGAATGGGTGGAAGAGAAAGCGAGAGACAAACGATTACACAGAACGAGGGATATCCCACGTGTACGTGGCGTGAATACTGACCGTGATTATGCGAACCCCTAATGCATTCCGTATGAACTTGGTGGATATGTTGCGTTACCAATTCCTCCGACATTTCTACCATCTGCGGAATTATCGGAACTCACTGCTAGACTATTCATTGCACTAATTACAATTTGTTAAAAGCTCGAGGGAAGATCAGGCTATTGCTAAATTAATTTTAATTTATTCTAATGTATATTAAGCCATAAATTTTTTAGGGGACTTAATATGCCATACATGAGGTTTAATTTTATAATATTACTGTATTTATTTCGAGATAATTAAAATTTTATTATTTATTGGCAATTATTTTTTTTAATAAAATTTTTTTTGCTTCAATAAAAAATATTTTCAAGCTAAAAATTAAAAAACATGTTGAACAAATAAACATTGCAGGTGTAATTCTGAGGGTAAATGATATTTAAAGCTGCGTTTACTTGAGTTAGAGAAAGAGCAAGGACGCATAAGAGTCAAGTAAAACGATAATGAAGCAGTGATGCTAACAAAATAAAATTACTGAGGTAAATAATTCTGGGCAAGTAATTGCCACTCAAAAATCTCAAAGGCTTATGTCTTTTTAATTTAGCACTTGTCATCACTGAAGTTAAAAGTCTCGCATCAGTCGAGTTCACCACGTAAACTTACTTTCATTCAGAAGTCTACGTACATCTCAGGGGATCTAGAAAATACAAGCTTTAATCAAAGAGGAAATTCACAGAGAGAAACAAGATCTTAAGAATACACTTTCTGTTTACGATCAGCCTAACATAGTCTTGATCCTTCATCTTTTCGCACAAAACAACCATGACTGATAAATATTTTGATTCATGTATATGCTAACACAGCTTATAACCATGAAAGCAAAAGTCTCTGACGACAAACTTATTTTTCACGGAACTCGAGCGTATCTTAGTACATTCAAAGCTGTACTCTGTGAATAACTTTTTCACATCTCTTATAGAGAAAATGGATTCATTGTGTAAAAGTAATTTTTATTTATTTATATTGTTATTTTGAAAATTTTATTTAATTACTTAATACATTTAATTCTCTTGCATACAATTAAAAAAATATTATTGCTTTATTTTTTTTATGAATAAATAGTTCTAAATCATTTTAAATCAACAATCACTTGAAAAAGAGTACACTCAATGTTTGGTCAGCCATTTTATATATTTGAAATTAAACCAGAACACTAAAAAAAAAAAAGTGCTATTATTGAACTCTTTTTCCAGTTAATATTCGTCCATGGACCATTTTTAGCATCGTAAATAAGACTTTTTTTTTGAAATACAGCCAATCTCAGAAATAACCCGGTATTGTAGAATAACACAGTGCAATAACTGAGATTGGCTTTCATTTCGTTTGAACCACTAGAAGACTTCCGAGATAATCTTTTCCTCGGTGTGACAATGCTGCTCATATGAGTAGTCTCGATGATCCCTGGTAGACTACCCGTTGAGAAATAGGTGAGCTTCACCCCAACTAGATTTTTTTCTTTTCATCTGATGCTGCACGAATCCTCGGCATTCACAACCCACATCCAATGGCCCGCCCTCGGTTATGTTACGAGGACAATATCTAATAAAAAAAAAGACGGGGATGGAGAGAACCCAAAGCTTTAGGCTTTTGTGTAAAGTCTTTTTACACAGCGTATTCACGTTGCTTTCGACTTTTTGACTTCTCACTCGTTGTTTCTTACCAATATGAGGTCGTCTGAAGTAGACATTATATTTTGATATTTCATCGAATTTTTGTTGGCATAACAATTCTAGGTCTTTTATCATACTCTTTATGATGCAAAAGACATCATATATTTCAAAGTCTTGAAGTACATCTTGCTCTTAATCATTTATTCAATTTTCCAACATTTTTTGAATTAAAATGAAAAGATTCGAAATGTCTGAAACGTCTGACCATGATTTTATCCGATGAAAAATGATAAATTTGATGGAATAAAAATACTTTAAAAATAATAAAAGTGTAAGAATTCACTCTTCTAAAATGTAATGATAAAAATAATGAATTTATTCTTCGTCACATTTAGTACTAAAAATAATTATGACACTTTTAATAATACCCCTCAGACAACATACACTTTTAAAAGTATATTTTAAACGAAATTTTCCACTAGACATTTACAGACGAGTGATCAAAGTAATTGAGACACCTCTGGGAAATATATAGAAAATAAAAAATTATAACAATAAATTTACAGTTTGCCACACATTTATGTGCAAACGAATCACAACTCACGGATCTGCAGTGATTGTAAAGCAGCAACATCGTTCGACGTTCCGTAATAGATTCATTAGAGGGTTGCACTCTCGCCGTATCAACGAAACGAACGCCCAACCCTCAGTATACGCACTCGAGTTTGTCAGTATATCTACCCCGCGGGTACGTGTATATCGTTCAAATCAGATTATCCATCGGTAATCAATATCCAGGCGATTCGATGATCAGCGCCGAGGCATCAGGACAACTGGGGTATTTCGCAAAACCATCATTCCCTCCTAGAATTACATCGCTTCCTGTTAGGGATGGAGATCGAGTGTGGTAGGCCACTGGATTTCGTGCGGATCACGTAATCAAGCTACTCTAAAATTCCTTGCTGCTAATGAAGACCAGTAAAAGTCCGGCTTACTTTTATCAACCTTAACCCTTTGATTTTATGTATTCTCACTACATTGTAAACCACGAAATCTCATCAGAATAAATTTATATTTCTTCCTCAGAAAATTTCCTTGGCTTAAGAATGAAAGCCTAGGGTTGGACATTGAAGAAACAGCTGTAGATACATATTCATATTTCTTTTCCTCTGCTTTTTCCCTTTAGTACGACTTCTGCTTCTTCTACTTTCAATTTATTAAAGCACAAGGTGAGGGTAGAGCTTCCTATTGTGTAATTTCATAAGACATCTTCTACCGACTGCTTAAAATAATATTTAGAAATTTTTAATGCTATATTCCTTCAATATTTCAAGGAAAAAAATACCTCAAAAAGCCCTTTGACAAACATGTGGGAATTCTAATCTCTCGAATGCTCCAAAGTATCATAAATTACCAGGTGCTTACCAAGTCTGTTTAATGAATGTAATTTTACGGATTCTCTTTCTGATGTGAAACTTAATTGAAATTAATTCTGCCGCGAGTCAAATGTTCTTTAAGTAATTTAAACAGCTTAAACTGAGAATGGAAGTGAACTTTAATGAACTTAACAATAAGAATTTGTTCAATTTAATCGATTATAAAATCTGAAGATAAAAGATGATCTTCATTGATTGTCTAGCTCTCTAACTGAAGCTTTTATTCGCTGCAGTAATTTTCCTCCACGAAAGTTTACTACAACTCCAGAGCGACAGTGTACCTGTCACGAGCAGAACTGTATGGTTTATGGAGTCAGTTCACTGCTCAAGTAACAGGAGGAGGAACCAGTCTTTCCCTAAGCTCTCAGTAAGCATAATGCGACCATTATTTTCAGTTCTCGTATCTACTCAACCACGTACTTAAAGACGCCGACCACGTTCGCCTTTCATTCTTAAATCCGATTTCTTGATCTTCATCCGTTCATTTATTATGTATTGACTAGTCCTAGAAAGAGATGGATAAAATGAGTTAGATTTAGGATAAATGGTCTATTGTTGGATTAAGTTAATATTTAATATCTAATTATACGACTGAGATTTCAATGTAATAATCTTATTTGCTTCTTTCACGTTTTTTCAATGATATTAAATGGTGTATTACATGTCGAAAGAATTTTTTTTTACTTATTTTATACTAAAAATAATAAAGTGCTAGCACTAGCAATACCATTAGCGTAATATTGCGGCTGAAAAAAGTGATTTCAAAATATTCCGTGGCAATTTCTCCAAGAAACGATCCCCTCATTGTTGAACAGCAACCTTCAAGACCCTCTGATGGTTGAGACGATTATGAAAATTTTGCTTTATTGGTATTTTTCATTTCATAAAAATGTAAAATATATTTTTTCTTTTTCATTATTAAAAGACTTTCAAATAATGGTACAATTATTTTTGTTCTAGATCCTTCGGCGTCTGACTCTTCCTGCAATGAAGAACTCCGAGGCCATTCTTATCAACGTAAATTTAAAAATCCTTCGAGAGCGTCCACTGCAGGAAAAGACTCCCGTTTGAGTAATAATTCAATATCTCAAGACGGTGTGACTGTGGATTGTGTGGCTTTGGTTCATATTACTGACCAATCACCTACTGAATCCAATCCACCAGTGCGTCATCCATCACCTTATTACTACGGAGATCTTTTTAAAACACCAGAACAACAACAAAAGACTCAGCCCAATAAGTATCGAAAAAGTGTAAGCCTTGACGTACCAGGTGACAGATCGAGAACGCCGGTTTTACCTAAAAGGAATTCAGTCGCTGGTGATGGAGGTTCACCTTACGTCTCTTCTTCAAACCCACAACAAAGTCAAGATCTAGTAAGTCCTACGGGAAGCGAGCATGCAGTACCATCAAAGAACAACGAGATACTCTCATCGTGTATTATTACTGAGTGGGATCACACCCTGATGCCTCCACATCGTCTGTTAAGTCATGATCTACCCAATACTGTGTGTATGTGCGTGGCATCAGCTGACGAAGATGAGTTAGAAGCACCAATAAAGGTTGCGCGACATCAAGTGCGCAAACTGAGACGATCGAAACGCATAGAGCCACAGCAACCAGCGCTCATTGAAGACGAATACGACGTTGAAGCTGAGAAACCTGGAGACGAAGCAGATATTGAAGAAGAAGATATTGAAGAAATTGATGACGAAGAAATGGCTAGACAACGGCATTTGTATGAGACAGCGTTTGATAGTAAAGTTAGTCGGTCTGATGACGACCTTGATGATGTTGACAGAGTTACAAACCATCCAGTGTTACACTCTCATGTGAGAACAAATGTAAATACATCTCAATCTAGAGCAAGTTCGTCGGTTGAAGCATCAAAGCCACCATCACAGATTCATTATATAGAATCTCAACAACAATCAAAAGACCACAGACGAAAAGTTGTCTTATTGCGACCAAAGCCAATTCCTGGTAGATTGCAACATCATCCGACTGATATTACGAGTATTTCTCAAGAAATAGAATCTCTTCAAATAAATTCTGGAGATGAAAAGGTATCATCTCCCCGACTCCCCACACGAGAATATACTCCTTCGCCACCTTCAACTGCGCCTTTGCCTGTTAAATTCCATGGAAATAAAGATCATCTTCTATTGAATATTCGCAGTGCACCAAATTTACCCTCACAGCCTGACCATCCACGACTAAAGGACATGAGACTGCCTGTAAAATCGCTGAGAGCTAAGGATTCCCCTCAGAGCAGCGAGAGTAGCATTCTGGAGATCAAAAGTCGACCTAAAAGCTTGGTACAAGAGAACAACGAATCATATGTTCGCAGAACAGAAAAAGAGATTATTCTCGAGTTCAAAGGAAGGCCAAAAGAAGAACGACAACGTCCAAGAAGCTTGGTCAGAGAGAGTAGACCGATTATGGAGTTCAAGGGAAGGCCACATGAAGCTGAGGGTGATCTGCCGAGACCCAAGAGAGAGTCCGGCTTGATAGAATTTAAACTTCGTCAAACTAGACGAAGAATCGGATACTCCAGTACTGAAAGTATGGCAACCAGTAGCAGCGGAGGTAGTATGGAATCATTGAGAAGCAGTACTAGCGAGGGAAATAGGTCAACCAGCAGTTCAGAAAGTAGACACAGTACGAGCTTAAGTTCTCACAGTTCTGATAGCGGTAGTACAAATTGCTTCCATCATCATCACCATCATCATCAACAACCTGCTTCTGGTTTTCTAACTTACCATGCATCCAAACTTCACATTTTATCACCCATATCCGACAAGTCGTCGCAAGAACCAGCTTCTGAAACTTCGGATAACAATCGTAACAACAATTCTCAAAAAGCATCACCAGAAGAAACATCCACTGAAAACATTACAACCAATGTTAACACAAATACAAATACCACAAATATTGTATCCCCATCAACAGATACCTCGTTTAAAAAACGTCGAGCACCACAGAATAAAAATTTAATCAATTTAGCTCTTCAATCATCGTCATCTGGGGATGCTGAAATTCAAGGATCAGACAGTGGTATTTCTATTGAATCACGTGCAGGCATTAAATGTAAACCATTTGGCTTTCATTTACTCAAACCACAAATCGACAATATCAATTTAGTTGACAATGAACCTGATTTATCTGATCTACCTTTCGATATGCCAAAACTTCGTAGAAGAAGACTGCTTATGCAGCAGGATGCAACCACTTCAGGCAGTGCAACTAGCGTAGATCTCAGGGATCTTCCATTTGACATGCCAAAATTAAGAAGGAGATTAAGGTGTACACAGAGTACAGAATCCAGTGCTTCTCAAGCTTCTTCAAGCCTTTCAATTAGAGATGTTGACCCACCTCCACTCTTCGGTAAGCACTACATGCTATATTATTGTCATTAAGAGTTTATGAAGCTTATCTAAAAAGGCACTTTAAGGTAGTTATAATAAAATCGATAGTATAACAGTAGTTGTGTATCCTATACTTGTATCCCTTTATTTTGTATAATAAAGAGAACGGGCAACCATTAGACTTATAAAAACACCACATTTTGGAAAGGGGAAGATGGGACAACGCAAACTAAAGACTCATCAGAGAATGAGGGAAAGACCGTAATTTGATACTCTGCGTTATGAACCTCCCAGACAGGAACTAATGTCGTTAAGCCCTACTTAACACCTGGGTATAAATAATCTTAAGATCAAGTAGTTGTCAAGTCATTCAGATAAATAATTTTAAATATTCTTTTGCATATTACTTATTCAATAATTTTTATTTCATTCAACTGTTTATATATTGATGAATAATTTGATAGTCGAAACAATCTAGGATAGCCAGTATTTTCGTTTAAAGAGAAGATGATAAAATCCATAAAGTATTAAAGAGATTTTTGATGTTCGACTTTAGCTATATACAATATACAAGCAAAAGAGAAAATTAGTCGTGGAATTAAGTTGCCTGGTAATATGCGAGCTTCGATACGAACCCCTAGCTGTCGCGTTCGGATTTGATGGGACTTTGAACGCGTCACGTCTACCCGATGAACACAAGGGGTGGTCCAAATTGCGAGTGCCCTAATGCGAACATGGAATAGCAGCCTGCAGCCTACGGCAACAGACGCTATTGATGGGGTAAAACTTTAAACTTCGATATATGTACACATTGAACTGTAATAATGATGATTACAAACTCGTTGAAATTTTTTATTAATCATAAATATCGTGCAACATGTAATTGATTAATACTGCAAGCGTCATTTACGTTAGTCATTCCAACCACAGCTACATTATTGCATGAAGATAAATTGAGATAGAATTAATTGAAAGAAATGTTGAATCAATAGAGTATCATTCCTATAGCTAAAATATTCCATGATGTTTTAATTACAATGTTTTCATCAAGTTTTTAAATAAACTCATTTTAAATTAAATGAGTAAATCAATCATCTGCAATTTTGTTATACAACTGTGTAATTAATTTTCTTCTGAATGTAATTAATTTTTTTCCTACCTCAAATGAATATAATGTACATGTTTATACATGCTTACTGTCATAAAAATGGTAAAAAAATTGAGATTGAGCGGGATTACGACATGATCGAAAGGATATCAAAGAAAAGTTATTTGTCTTCTTATGGTGTATTTCGCAGAAATGATCGATTGTTCTCTTAGCCCTTCTTAGAATAAATCAAATCATCCAGCTTATCAGTTCTCTGGAAAAAGGATCTTCTATAATAAAAAACATCTTTCTCATTAGGATGTTTCATCTGGTTTACCACAAGTGTTATAACGATCATTCAAAATATTTCTTTCAATGACATCATTGTCAATAAAATAATTGCCGTAGAGATAAAACCACAGTGATAACGAGTCTTGTTATTTCTGGATTCGCTATGTCAGCTGCGGTCATTCACAGTACTAGGTGTAGAGTCTTCATCAACAATTAGTCTGTTACACGTATCGCGTGATAGTGTTCAATCCGACCACGAAATTAACAGGTAGTCATTAATCAGTAAATACTTAATCATCATATATTTTATGACATATGACGACAATACAGTAGTCACAATCAGGAAATATTCTTTATCATTTTCACAGGAATTTTTCTTTCATGATAAACTAATAATTCTCTAATAAGATAGGAATAAATTGGATCATCTAATTGGGTAAAATATTTGTCTGTTGAGCATGAATTTTAATTAAATGGAGTAATTTAATCAATTTGAGGTTGTTTTGACTGTGTTTGTTAATTATTAAGAGATTTGATAAATGCAAACAGACGTGGCATTGGTTAGTGGTTAATCATAGAATCATCAATTAAATCAATATAATTAAATGCATTAAAAGAATTATTTCATGTCAATAAATAAAATCTTTGTAAATAACTTGTTATCAGAAATAGAAATTACTCTAATACATTACATCAAAATAATGTTTAGTCAGACATAACATATGGTTTAATTTAAAAAATTCTAATTTGCATCAAAGGTACTTTTATCAGCTACAGACATGCCCTGGTAATTATTCCCTAATTAACTCATAAATTAACAAGCTGTGTGAATGTAATATTACGTGGATATTTATTATTAAAAAAATTTTTAACTTATTCAAGTTTAGTAATTTAGTGGAATAATGATGTTAGTCAATATTAATAATTAATAAACATTACTATTTATTATTTATTATTTACTGAATAATATTGAGTAAATAAAACAATCTTCTACGACTTTTAAGCCATCGTAATTAAAACATTAATGACATCGAGAAGATCAAAGGAAACAATAGACACTAAAAGTATAGATGAATTCGGAAAAACTACATTGTTCTTCCAGACAAAAGCCAGGGCTGCCATCAGCCTCAGGCTCAACCCGATAAAATGCCTAGTTTTGTTCACAAACTTTCACATTTATTGTGTATGGTCTCACACAAGTTTGGAGTTGGACAGAAAAATTCCCTGCGTGCTTTTACACCGTACGCTGACGTTAGCGTATTGGTAATATTGGAAATATCACGCTCTACTTGCTGAACAGTTGAGGGTGAAAGAACGAATGATCTTTTCGATTTTACGACGTATGGAAAATAGAAGTTGAATTTCATGTTCTGGCCTTTCTTACGTATTTTTTATCGCAAATTGCTTCTTTGCCAAGTTCATCAACGTCACCATTTTTTCCCCTGATTTTTGAGAAACATATGCGGTGTTCCATCACTAAAAACTTTCTTCGACATTGAACATGTCGTCACATCAAATCATCATAATTTTTTTGTTTAGGTGTTGTGGAAAAAAAAAATATTTCATGTTGATTTTCTATCATAGCTCTCTCCTGTTTATTTTTGTCCATGAATTTTTAGTGAGCTGAATGTCTTCTGGAAAATATTCCTGGAATTTTTGAAGATAAAATCCTCCATTTCACAATGACCTGTTCAATCAATCTTTTCCGAATAATATAGTCAATTTTTAAATAAGTTCCCAACTTATCTAATGTCAATCAATTTAACAAACTGGAAGTTTATGATGCAATGAGCATAAATTGGAAATAACTTTAATTCACAAGGAAATTTTTATTATGATAAAAAAGATGAATTTTGCATCAGGCATATTAGCATCACAAAAAACCACGAATAAAGCATAAATAAATATTTCATTCACTATCATATTTCCGGAAAAATCTCGAGTTAATACGAGCCATTTGATAATCGCAAACGTCTATAATTCTTACTCAGTCGTTAACGGAAGAAAGAAAGAAGTCTACCATCCTATCGGAGTCTTTTCGGTTGACTGAATTGTGAGTTAAATGCGTTTCCAAAAGATAAGATATTGCAGTTTGCTTGATGGAGTTATGAAAAAAGTAGTTGAAAATTTAGTTGAGCATTGCTGGGTTTAAATTTAATATTCATCAAAAAGTAAAAATATTCCAATCACGCGGTTTGACAAAATTCTAGTCCCACGTCATTCTCTTATAGAAAGAGTGTGGGATATTACATGCTTTGTGCCTTTGACTTTTTTCGCTGGTTCTAAAAAAGAAAAGTTGAACACATCATGAAAAAAATGTCGAATGAAAACGAGGGGTAGAAACAAGCAACTATTCAAGTGAATATTTAAGATAGAACACAGACATATGATCATCATATTTTATTTAAATAAAGACAATAAAAATAATGATTACTTCTAAAAATAAAAAAAACAATTACTTAAATTGTTACAACACATTAGAGTTATATTGGATTGTCACATAAATTCATTCATTAGCAGAATGTCTTAGAGAACAACTTAAGTGCTACAGATTATTTTATTTCTACTGAAAATCTTGACGAGTATAGTGGCTCTTGTGCTGAGAGCATCAGTAAATGCTTTGTCGCTGATGGGAAAACTCAGTAGTAATCCACGAGGGTAAATTGCGATGACGGACGAGTAAAGGATGGGAAAAGGTTTTCGTCTACGACCTTTCCACCTTCGCACTTCATATTTCATGAAGACAAAGATGCATCAGGCATTCAGAGCAGGCAACTAGTGTTTGTTACAATGTCGATGGGGATGATGAGGTCAGAAGGGAAAGTAGGGATGACAGATAAAAGGGGTGATATTTGGACACCATGTGCAGCTAAAGACTTGAGCTATCATACATGGATGTCGGATATATTAAATGTATAAACAGATTGGTAAGCTTTTCGTCGGAAAACAAATCGCAAATAGAATATTTTAGCAAAGCTATAAATTCTTTGTGACAATTCCTGTTTTCAACAGAATACTAATATTTATTTTATAAAATCCAAACATTAAAAATTATTTTCTTCGAACTAAAAAGTATTTACAAGTAGGAATATTATTATTGACTTCACTGTTTAATTATTAAAAAAAGTATGTAATAATTTAATGTTAGTGAAGGGAAAAAGAAAACAAATTAGTTGAAGAGAATATAGATCTTGATTTACTTTAGGAAATTAAAAGTGTACTCGTCTTCTTTTCCTGTTTTCTTCTGTCACGAATGAGACGTCCTCAACGCCGTCTGTTCGTGACTAGAAATTTCCCTAGAGACCCAATAGAAATATCCAAAGCGTGGTTCACCTTGTCTTCCGCTTCTGGAGTGAGAGAATAAGGGAACGATTGAGTGAGAAGCATAGGATATACGTCTCCTGCCTTTGGGCGATCTGTCACTTCATTCGAATCTGATTTTCCCTGTCTGGAGAATTTTACCCAAGGGTGTACGAGAAATGTGCAAATGTTATCGATACTTAGAAGCTATAGTTTATGTCGAACATGTTGATTACATTTTCAGATCTTGTTTGTTGAATAATTAATTAAAGGTCCATTTATCAAGACCTCTCGTATTAATAATGAACAATTATCTTGTGAAGAACACCACACACGTGGAAATGAATCGCTCATTTATTCCCCTATCGTTTCCTGTCTATTTCATTCAGTCCGGCTGTAAGTTTTCTTTTTTCCCCGCTTTTTCTATCGACGGGGAATCAGGTTTTGGGATGGACTTTTACGTGTAATTACATTGAGTCTGTTTTTTGATAAGAAGTGTTCCACACCAATTCAACACACAGACTGATCACATGAGTCTTTTTGCCACACGGTGCGATTTCCGTTACTTGGGTTTTTCCATTTCCCTGTAGACCAACCTTTGAGGATAAGGAGAAATTGATTGAGGCGTACCTCCGTCCGCAACGGATATTAAAACCATACGAGAGATGGCTAGTACATGAATACAGATCAATTCACATAGATTCTAATAATTGAATACAAAAAAGATCTCTTTGCTGATCAAACACAGTTCTTTCCTGTAATAAGCTAAAAATATGGAATATTATAGCATCCTGGAACATGACGGATCATTAAAATTGACAACTTATTAAAAGATGATTCAATTACCCTTACAACTTTGCTTTTAGAAAAACCCCTTATTTAAAAAAGATCTACCTTTTTTTAATTTAAATATTTCTAAAAAAAAAAAAAAAGAGTTTATGTCCAAATTTTTTAAATGAAATAATCATTACCAGAACTCCATTCTAAAATTACCATCAAACCGCATTCTCTTTTAGCTTGATTGTAAAAATAAATGTACTCCAACCACCATAAATCTGTGTTGAATCACCAAATCGAATTTAATAAACCAGCTAACGCCAATCTGAAAGAGTGGAGAAGTAAGCTTGGAGATTCGTTAATATTTGATAACACAAACTCTTGAGAAATAAAATGTAAGATTCAACCACGAAGAAAATTGGAAGGGTCGGAGAATAGAAGTCAACTTCTTTGTTTATCAATTCTTTCATATAGCCACGAAAAAGTTTCCAACTATGTTATCTTTAAGTATTGCTAACTCAACGATACAGCCGTCAGACCAATTTTCCTATACCCGTGTCATTCTCTTGCAACTTAACTACTAAAGATTGCCACGGCATAAACGAAATTATCGTGGAGGTTGAGTCACATCTACTATCGTTTCTCTACGATTTATCCATGAGACAAGTGATTGGTATATGAACACATGGCAGCTTTCGACAGTTTGTCAGCTTTCTAAGCTTCAATCTCGCGCGATTATAATCCTTCCTGACAATATTTTATATTAACTGACACTATGACTTCAGCAATATTTTATGTATATAAATTAATAGATTTTACATTCCAATAACATGTAGACAAGTGGAACTGATTCCCTGATCCATCAAAAGTTTTGATTGCTTTGAAGAAAAAATATATTGCTAGTAATTACAAACTAATTTTGCAGAGAAAATATTAACTTTCGTGGTTTAGAGATATTGCTTACGCTAAAAAGTAAATATACTCTTAACTGAGGACTCACTGGGGAACGATTGCAATTTGACCCGATTATCATAGCTCATAAAACCCTCAGATATTAGTGTACCAGACTATCAGAGGTTGGGAAAAGCTTGACGCGACGTCTAACTGGTGTATGACTCATTTCAGGCGGCAGTGTGGCGCGTCCAAAGATGACGCTTAACTTGGAAGCTAATGGTGGAAATGGCGGAAATGGGGGTGGTCTCCCAATGATGAAGAAACCTGGTGGATTGAGTCTTGGTCTTGAGCTAACAACTAGCCGTGCATCTGCGGATCTTGTAGACGTTGAATTACCACTTGAAAGACAAGGGTAATTATTTTAATTCAACGAATACTAATTAGAAATGTTGAGAAAAAAAAAATTAATTCATTTTATTTTCAGATGGTATCATGGATCGATAACGAGAATCGAGGCTGAGGCAGTACTGAGACTCTTGCGAGAAGGAAGCTACCTTGTGAGAAACAGTGAATCGACTAAGCAGGATTATTCTTTGTCGTTGAAGTAAGTCGATGAAAGTTTGACATAAGTTACAGATCCTTTGAAATCCTCACACTTTTGTATGCTTTCAAATTTACATTTTGTTCATGGTATATAAAAGATTTGTGACTTTTTTCAAGTTTTGTTTCATTTATTAATTCATCGAGAGTTGTTATGATTATTCTATACTGAAACAGTCTTTATCTACACTTTGAAATAATTTTCCAAAAGGTAAAAATTTTATTGTAAAATATTTTTCTGATTTAATAAAATTTCTAATTCGGTTTATTTTTGATACTTTCAGATTTTTCCATAATCATAAAATAATTTTTCAGTGTACGGTAAAATGTTTCTTTTATTTTCTCTTTACATAACTTAGATGTTTTCCTCTCCAAAGATTCATCTCTGCACGTATATAAGACTTAAAAATATTTTGAAGTATGAAAAAATACCAAGCATTCTTACATTGTTGAAATTTTTCAGGAGTGCTCGAGGATTTATGCATATGAGGATACAGAAGAATGAAGAATTAAATGCTTACATTCTAGGACAATTTAGTAAACCATTTGACAGTATACCAGAAATGGTTCGTCATTTCAGCGTGAATCGTCTTCCGATACGAGGAGCTGAACATATGTGTCTTTTGCATCCAGTCATAGCGCAACTGTTGTAGCGCTTCTATCGTAGCGCCCTTTAAGGCGCTGATCATCTATATATTTCATGAAGAGCACATGGACTTGTCATTGAAAAATACGTGCAATGGATTCTCAGTCGATCTTATGATAAAGACATGGAGATAGGAAGACAAATAAGCAATGCACGTTTCTACGTAAATTATTCTCAATGTTTTTGTAAAATTTGCTCGATTTGGTATCCATAGCACGATGCATTGTTTACGAAAGAGATGGGATCATCTGTGAGAGGACAATAATTGAATTGATTGGATTACTACGTTGTCGGTGAATCATAAAAATTATTACAGTACAAAATACGACAGATTCATTCGTAAATATACATTCAATTAAAAAACTAACAAATGAAATGAGTAAAAAGAGCTTGATAAATATTAGGTTTTAATTGGTTAAAAAAAAATATTTTAATGTTTTTTAAATTTGTGTCTGGATAATTTTATTAACAAAGATCAATTCTTTACTATGTATGTAATGTACTTCAGGGAATTTTAGATGTTTTTGGTAAAACGTACTCTTACGTAACTGTATTACGAGCAACGTATGTACGTCCGAAGAAAATCTAGTTGTCTTCCCCAATTAATAGCGTAATCTACCTCCGCTACACTTGATACTACATAATGCATTTTAGACGAACGTTAACTTTGAAAATTTTTCTGAACTGATACAATATAATTTATTGAGTCAGAGACAATGTAATGATTTTTACCGAAAAAATAAAACTGAATTTTGATAAATAAAATTTAAAAACAAAAAGCATTTGAGATTAGAAATTATCTTGGAAAGTCATCATGTCTACATAATTTTCCACATTGATGATTATTAAAAAGAAAGTACTTATTTTATGCAACTAATATTGCATTAAGTGAAGCTAAAATTCATACCAACAATCATGTATTTCAAGTACAGGAGGTTTGAGGACAAAAAAAAATAAAAGAGTAAGAAAATAATTTTTAAATTCAAGTTGTTTTAAAAAAATAAAATTTAACTTGATTTATTATAATTTTTATATTTAATTGAAAGTAAATAATTCTTTTAAAGTTATAAATATGTTAGGTTATTATTATATTTATTGATTTAAAGAAACAGGAACTTATATACAAAACATGCGAAAATAAAAAAATTCAATTTTAACTTGAATGAGAAAACTATTCGAAACAATCATAAAGTTTCTAAAATAATGGTTTTATTTTCCACTCGACTGCACCGTGAAAAGAAGAATTGTCTCATAGAATAAGAGATTAAAAAATCTTCCATCCAAATAAACACAATAAAAATTCGGCAAAGGACAATTAAATTTTTATTCTAATCAATGCCAAAGTTGAACTTCCATAAAAATATCAAGAATTTGTACCTCAAATTATTTAAAATGTCAAAAACTATTAAATTAGTTACTCAATCTTTTATTTCTTTCCTTCTATGTCATTTAGTTTAGACTTAGTAGCATAAAATTTAATACTTGATTTAATGAATAGCTTTCAGTCAAACTGTAACACTAAATTTAATTATAAATGGTAATGATTTATTAGTTGATAAATCATGGGTCATCAATTCTTAACAATGCATAAATATAAGTGTTAAACGATTGCGATGCAACAAACACATATTTTTTCATGTGATAATAATTTGTTACAGAATTAGCCTAGTTTTCATCTGTGATTTATTGATACTTTATAACTATGTATTAGTTATGTATCATCGTGTGCAATGAACATCAAATAATTTACTTATCAATTAATTGATTAATCAATTAACGATAATTCGATAAACAAAATTAAATTACTTTTTAAGCTATCATAATTTCTCTAGAATAATTATCTATCTCAACATGAGTAGGTGTGATTCAGTTATATTGACATACTTATATTTATAATTTATTAACGAATACGTCCATAACCGTCTTATGACAAATATGAAAAAATTAACGAAATGAAAAAAAAAAAATTAGAAAGTGAAACATAGCTGGGGGAAAACTGTTGAAGAAGGTGTACAAAGTTGCGCAAGATGATTGATCCGTTGAAATTTATATTACATTTATATTTTTCTATTTTTTAAATATAGGGTGTTTTGTTTGTAGATTTGAAAGAAATCCAGTCCTATCCAATAGTAATCATTTGAATATAATTATTAATTAAGCACGTATTTTAAGCTGCCAGTATTATTAATTGTAATTAATACATGATGCATATCGACGTGATCGTTTAATGGAAATATAATTATATTATTAAAGGCCATATAATAAGGTAATATATTTTTCGTCACTGCTCTTAGCACAATATTAATTGCGTGGGTCGTGTTTCATATGTTGATTTATTCATAAGTCATAAAATTCGCATTAAACTCTAGTGTTAATTATTAATATTATTATAATTATTATTGATTATTGTAATTATATTTATCAATATTATTATTTTAGATAAGCAACCCTAATATTTATTCTATACTGTCGTATCACATGATTAAGATTATGGCTGACGTGTAGATACTCCTTGTACCTTAAAGTTTATATGACGTAGATCAGCTCCAGTAAAATGATTAATATTGTAATAATTATTAAGTCTAGTCCAGGTCGTATAGGGCCTATTAGTCGTCCCTTAATAATTAGGTATTTATTATTTATTAAGAAAGATCATGTCCAATATAATCTTAATGTCTGATAAATTACCATGTCAAGTAATGAAACATTTAATAAATATCTATAAAATTGACTGTTCAAGTAATTTTATTCAACAAAAGATTTTACACAATGCAATTTTTCTTTTTAGAAAACAATTCATTCAATATTTTTAGAATATTGAATGCAATAATTTTTTTTTATATTTTTTAAATATGTTTAACCTTGGAAATTTTCTGATTTGTCAACGAGATTACAACATACATTTTCATCAAGTCCACATACTTTAGGCACATTAGTTGTACCAGGTGGCATAGGTCTGCAATGATAAAGTTGCCCATCAGCTCCTCGTACAGTGCCTTTGTTTAATTGAATTATTTCTGGACCCCAATCCGTAAGAAAATGACCCATTCTCATAACTCTCTGCTGTGGTGTTGTAATGGTGTGACTACCTCCACAATATCGATTACTAAAATGATCTCTAGACGATTTTTCCATGATATCATGTGACAAAAACTTATGTTTGTTCATGTCTTGAACTGCGGCAGTAAATAGGTTTATGTGTTTAGCTGGAAATCGTCTCGGGTGTTTCCTCGTTTGATCCAATTTATATGTCAAATAAGGCTTAATCATTTTACGATAAGGCATTGGATCTGCATAATCTAGCGCATTTTGTTCTCTTTTCATGATTACATCTCTATCGCAAGTAATGCATTGAAGACCTCTAAAAATAAATTGTTAAATTTAGTGTTAATAAAACATTTTATTATGAGAACCATTTTACGTTAATATTTTTTTAGCTCCTGCTGCTTCACTTTCACGTTTTTTCATATTCAATTGTTTGAGTTTATCTTGCAATGCCTGGAGTTTTTCTTCCATATATTCTTGGATAGGAGATACCTCTGTTTTATCCAATTTGTTATCAATTTCTTGCTGAACAGTATTTAGTGTTTCTTTCAATGCAGTTTCTTGTTGATTTGATTTCAATATTGTATCTTCCAAAGCATTAGTGAGCTCTTCATATGCAGTATCAAAGCGATTATATGAGACCTAAAAATAAAAATCATTCACATTTTATTAAAAAAAAATGTAATTCAAGGGAAAAGATTTAAATTCTGCTCTAGACCTTTCTATCAACAACTGTAGCATCAGCTTTGCTGGCTAACGCATCTTCTAGGTCTTCTCTATCCGCTTTCATGATTTTAAGTAGCTCCACTTGCTCAGTTAAAATCTAAAAAAATATGTGTTACTTAGTACTTGTGAGAACCATTGTAAAATATAAATAATTACATCCATATTTTTATCACGTGATTCCTTTTCTTTATTCAAATTTTCAATAGTCCAATTCATTCTTTCAATATCAATTTCAATATTTTTGATATTTTGTACAACATCTTTCATTCCTTTAATTCCTTCGAATCCATCAAAGTTTAACATTTGTTCTAACACCTTGACACGAGAATCAATTTTTTTGAAATCTTCTTCGTGCTTATTTTGCACCTTCTCGATCATTGCAATTAATGATTTTTTTTCATCTTTGAAATCCTTTAATGTTTCATCATCATTTGTCGAGTCTTTACCTGGTTTGCTTAATGTCGAAACAGTTGAGACAAGTTTTTTGCTACTTTTTCTACCATCACTATATTCTGATTGATCCTCAGCTAGTATTTCGGAATTCGGAAGACTTTCTACACTAAAAACATCTACTTCCTCAATAAAAGTCTCTGCTTCATCAACTGTTTGAGGAATATCTGAAGATACTTGTCCTACAGATTGTATTTCAATCACATCAATGATATCACGACTAACAGCTTCTTTTTCTGCTGCTTTCTCTGCAATTTCTTCTTTATCAACTACTAGTTGGTCGACATGATAACGAATTTCTGCAACATCCTGCATTATTTTTGCCATGTCATTTTTTAAAGATGATACTTCTTCTTTTAGATTATTTAACTGCCCTAAAAAATTTAATATACGTTTTATTTTATCAGAAAGAAAATGTTACAATTGGTAGAATATTATATTCCCATCATACCCGCATAGTTAAAGCTTTTTGAAAATTGTTGGGATATTTTGCTTGCTGCTAAGCTAGCTGTTGTTAAACCAGAGACCTTGCTGGCATAAACTGATGATTTAATATCATCCCTTTGTTCTTCAATTAATATCTTATCATCACTAAAATCTTTAAATTGTTTATTTTCCTCATCATTGTCTCCTTCATCTGCTTTATTATCTTCTATATCTTCTTCTTCTGTATTTTCTTCTGCCCATATTTTTTCTTGGTGAAATTTTTCATTATAATCAGATTCATTGAATAATGATTTTGCCTCTGGAAGCATTGATGGTTCAAGTTCAGCTGGCTGAGATGCACTGATAATTTCTCGAAGGTTTGTTACATCATCAAGAATATACTCGAAATTTATTTCTAAATCAGTAATTCGTTTATTCATTTGATGAATTTTCTTATATAAATCTTCATCCACAGATTGTTGATCATTATCTGCTTTATCAGCTGGCTGAACATTTACAACTGTTCTCGTCTTTGGAGCATCAACAATATTATCTTCAACTTCACTATTCTTTTGTGGAATTTGATCATCAATGGTAGAAAAATTTACTGTGACAACTGCTTCGTCAGAAACATAATCTCCCTGTACAATGTTTCCATCCGTGTCAATAATATCACTTTCATGGAGATAAAAATTTGAACCATCTTTCAAAGATGCAACCATAGCCTTCAAATATATGTATCATTTTTATTCAGTGAACTAAATTTTTTTACCACAATTTATAATAAAACATTTCTTACTTTTATTCTAGCTGCATCATCTCCTCGATATTCTGCTTTGACATTATTTAAACTTGTCTGACGTAATAGAATATAAAGAAAGTTGTGTAGAATATTAAAATTTACTGATCCTACCTTTTAAACAATAATTTAAAATTTAATATTAAACGTGCCATGACAAAAGCAGGATAAAGAATATTCTTTATTATTACTTCTGGTGTTCCTAATGCCAGGTCGAGCATTTGAAGTAAAGGGACTTGGAAAGTTGCATCATTTGGTGTCATTTTATTTTATTTCTAGCACTATTACTATTATTCCACCTAAAAATTAATCAAAAATAAAAAAGCAGGTTATTTGATAATGTAATTATGCTAGATAATTTGACAGGTATACTGAATTCTTTTGTTAATATTAAAGAAGGTTGTAGAAATAAAAAAAAGAACATCATGGTTTTTATTAATAAATTAAAAAAATGTATTGTCACGCATTATTAAGAAGTTTACATCAGGAATTAACTTTGAAAGAACACGTACCCAAAGCACATAACAATGTAAAATGTTAAATAGTTAAAAATCAATAACTAAAAAAAAATTATCCACAGAAAGGTCTCAGTAAAAGTTCTTGAAAGCCAGTCTTTGCTGGAGAAGTGATTTGAATTAAATATTCCGTACCATCTTTGATACTGCTTAAAAGATCGTCATCAAGTAAAATATGAATACCTAATGATTCTACAATTTTAATTCTCTTAATATGATTATATGGAATATGGAATTTTCGCGAAATCTCTTTCAATAATTCGTCAACAGTCATCATTCTTAAACAAATAATTTTCCACAGATGAGATTCGCATTCGTTAAAATCTAAGGCACAATATATTGTTAATTTAATTTTTAATGCGTGAATCAAACGTATAGCATCTTCGCGGCCACAAATTGATGCCAAATCATTTTTCGAGAGATACGTCAAATCCTTGATAGAAAAACCTGCCAGCTGATGCCAGAGATGCCCAAAGCAATTTTTATGAAGCCAGTGCAGCAATTGAATAGTGTCATAAATATGAGGTCCATCGATGGGTCCGCATCCTTCAATGAATTTACGCTTAGAAAAAGTAAATACTTTGTTGGTGAATAAATTAGGAAAGGTCGCACCGTAATGCTGAAGTCCTCGAGCGTGTAGCCAGGTACAAAGCTGGGCAATCCAAATGTGCTCGAAAGGTAGAACTGCGTTGCCATTGTCTAAACTATTCAACGAGCTACAAATAACCATTATTAATTAGCCAATTTAATATTAGATATTTATTTAATCAAAAAAAAAATTGTTATAATTACTTTGTTGAGCTTGAGTGTAAATCATTTTTCAAGTCGTCATCCGTTCGTGGATATTGATGGTAACTTCCGTATTCTTCCATTAACTCTTCGGCTTTGATAAAAGAAGACGAAAGAGCATTCTCGAATAATTCGTGACCACTGCAATTCAAACTGTCGAAGAAAATTTCTCTATTAATAATAACGATTTTTAAATAAGAATTTATGGAAATTACCCTTGGCAATTTTACGAAACATAGCAGAATTAAATTTTAACCGATTCATTTGACTCAATCACACTCAACGACTGTTGAATATTTAAATAGAAACAACAAATTTTAAAGAGATGACATGAAGATTGTTTACAGCAGAGTATGATGTGATTTGTTTTCATTATTTCTTCATTATTGTTATTGGTCAAATTGTATTCATAAAACTTGTTCAGCAGTTTCAAAATAATAATCGTTGGAATGTGTGAAAACAGTGTTGAAATAATATTGATCATGAGAGATTAAAATAAAATTCGTTATAAAATCAGTATTAGAATTGTCGAAAAAAGAATATTGAATTAAACTCTAGATATATTAATGGAGTTTTAAGGAAAAAAAAATAGCGAAAAAAAATTCAACTTACCTCAAATTATTGATCGGCGTGACAAAATCACCATCTTTCTCATAATCTTCATCTTCCACTTTACTTTTATTATCCATTTTCTCCGTCATTTCAATTATTTCTTGTAATTCACTAAACGAAGTTATTGCAAATACTGCAAAGTCAGTTATCTTCGACCGAATTAAATTACTTACTGAACTTAACGCACGCAGGACTAGAAGCGGTACTCGGCTTAGTAAACTGAAAACTGCCATCCAGTTCGACATGGAGAATATTTAAGTTTTGATGCTCTCTAGAGAAAACAAATTGGTACGACTACCACAAACTGACTAATTTCACAACCAATGTTTTGGCTTTTTTTAACGCACTAGTCCCACCCCAAATCACTTGTTACTCTTGGAAGGAGAATGCAAGTCAATGACCTGATTGGTCAGTTTGGCAAAGATAGTAAGTGAAGAAAAGAGCAGGGGTAGGGGGCAAACTTTTTGCCAGGGACTTCAGGTATACTTGTGACGTCACTCGGTGGGAGAGTATTATTGTAATCCACCTACCTATGCCGAGATCCTCCTCATTACTAGCTAGGTAGTTTTGATATTTCTATCCAACTGTATTTCTCATAATAAAAACAATCCCAAGTTTTGTACTAAGGTTTCTTAAATTTGAAATATTGACCTTATATTTTAGGACAGAGATGGGCAAGAACCTACATAAAATTTAAGGTTTACAAATAGCGGTTCTAATCTTAAATGAAAAGATGTCAGGTAAATTTCTAGAATGTCTCCAAGAGTGCACCTTGCTAAACTCATCGTGAAGTAATTTGCAGGGTTTGTCTTGACGAAATAAAATTTCTAGTAATAAGGAATGAATATTTTGAATAAATTAAAGGTCGAAGATCAGATGGGTCTTTTTTCTATCTTAAACATTTCTGGCCTAAAAATATTTTTTTATGTCGCAAAAATGTCAGAATTACGATATTTACTAAGTGAATATTACTCATAAAAATTTATCGTATAATTTAAAGGATAAAAATTTTTAATTGGAGATGATTATGACAATGCAGAAAGGATTTTTAAACAAATTCTCAAGAAAGTAAATAAACTTTAAAGCGGATGAATAATCGGCTTTTCAATACATCAGTAAAATCTTTTAAAATTTATAGCCATTGGTGAACTATTTACTTACTTAAGTTTTCAAGACGCAATGAACATGCATTATTCCTTGATTATTTTTTAATAACATTTCAAATGAAGAATTTAATATTTTACTCAATGGTAAATAAGATAGTTCTCTATAATGGTATTTGCATAATTATCTATCGAGGAATTTCCATTTTCAATCACATCTTACCATCACACATCAAAAGAAAATTATAGTTGAACGTTTTTGATGCTAGATGGTCACACTATACTCTACCAGGATGTGGTGCCATCTTTTAATTAATCTACAGTAATTTAGTTTAATTACTTTCCATTCAAATATAAATACATTAATCATAAAATAATTTTTAGTGTAATTTGTCCTTCTTAATATTTTTTTAAAAATAAAACAAGACATTTGAGATGTTGATGATCAAACAGTTAAAAAAAACAGCGATACGTTAACACAATGTGACATTTATTGAAAGCGTGATTTGAAACAATCAGACAATATTGACTTATTACACGAATAACACTGACATTCTTCGAAGCTTCCGGTGGAGATAGTATCCGTGATACCTATGACAAGTGTCCTGTTTCAAACGGGTGTGCAAAGCCGCCTCTTGTCTCCATCTAACCGGGCTTTAGTCATTTGTCAAACGGAGCGTGCAAGAACAGTTCTGCAGTGCATTGATAAAATATAGTGGGCGGGTGCACCTGAACAATTGCTTCACTAATACCATGTATCCTGTCAAGTTAATTTTTCGCTCAATAATCATAGTGAGTATTTATCAGTAATTGCTTTATTCATATTTATTCTTTCGAGAAAAAATTCTAAAATGCTTATCTTCTTTCAGATTGCTGTTTTGAACTTAATTTCAATAGAATCATCACCGGTAAAGCCGCGTAATACTAAACCCATTGATTTGATTCAGCCATCATTGAAGGAGTCTCCATACTGGGAATATATTCTCCGAGAGTTCGTGTTCAAGACAATATCGTCGCCACCCCAGTTTAACAATGTTCTATACAAGAAGTTGTTGGAAGCTCCGTTTTATAGTGGACCCCTGCCAACGGCATCTAGTGAAGACAATGCGTTGCTGTCTCGTGGAGACGTTTATCATCTTCCGGATGGTCGATGGATCTTGTGCCAAGAAGGCTGCGAAAACTGTAAACCCTGCACCAACCAGAAAGATTCGTTGGTGAAATGGACTCTGAAAAGAATAAAACGTTTCATATCTTCAGACTCATACCGATACGATCTTCAACTAACCGTCGAACCTCAAAGAGAAGTTTCGCTTGCAAACTTTGGTACTGGTCGTAATATATACGTCTCGACTAATCAATTAAACCCATCTGAACTTTCAACATCTACACAGGGAAGCCACATCGATAGATCACGATCAAGATCATGGCGTAGAATGCAGAGAGATCAAAATGGACAGTTAGATAGACACGAAGTTGTTATTGGAACTGAAGAACATTCTCCTAGTAATTCTAACAGTGAACTATTGTTGAATAGTTTTGAAAAAAATTCCTCCAAAGATAATGATGTCGAACCAACACATCAATTAATCATGGGCTTTGATCAATTAGGAAATAAACACATTATTCATATTTTGTCGACTAATTTCCAAGAAAAACCTGAGACTCAATTGAATGATCATAATTATCAATCAGTAAATGATGATATGAAATATCGGAAAATTAATTTTAATTCCCAATTGTCACCCTATCAAATATATATTCAAAGATTATTGGATTCGATATACACTCATAGACCTTTTATTGAAGCTTTTTTAACTCGAGGAGATTTAAATGACAAAATGAAGAATTCAACTAATTTTTTAAATTTATATAAAAATTTATAACATAATAAATATTCTCATCGATACGACTTATTTAAGAGTGTATTTATTAATCCAAAAAATGTTTAAAATATTGTTTGAAAAGAAAATATATTATTCTACATCAATAATGAATAAAAATATTTTTAATCCCATTGCATCATTATCAATAATCCTAAATTATAATTTCTATATTTGCCAGTAGATAATGCACATAATAATAATACTCATAATAATAATAATGATAATAATAATAATAATAATCATAATAGTCAATGTTCAATTTTCAACGATTATGTAAATAATTAAATGGAATATTCAAAACGGTGCTTAAAACTTATAATGTAGTTCATCAACATTGATTATTTTGTTTGCGAATGTTTGAAAATTTATGGCATACGGACAGTATAACCCGTATTATCATTGCATTGAGAAACAGAAACAGTCGCAACATCGCCTGATGAAATACAACACCAAGGGTTGCACTGTTAAACAAACAACACAGGAATATTCAACGGCTGTTTCACGCTCGCGCACGTGAGTGATCGTTAATTCGATCGTTCGCCTTTGCGCAATGGTAATGTGATCGTTTAATACGGCCTAATGCAAATAAACGTGGTCCTCACACTTCACTCGTACTTCGTCTATAAAGCACCATCTCTTTCTACTCAGCAGCAACAACGTGATCGTGAGTTGAGTCGCGATATTGTGGTGCTATATGTGCATTTAATGTAAGCACTGCGCTGTTGCTGTAATTGCATGGCAATAGATACGAGAAAAGCGAACGGTATCTGGCATTCGGTATCTGTACATGCACGTGGAGAATTTGTACCATAATCTAGTGTGTATGTGTGTTCTAGTGCATCCAGAACTGGTTTAAGAGAAGAGGTAAGCTGGTGCTTATATTTAATTAAGGAGGAAACTAGCATGGCTGGAGGTGGAGGAGCCAAAAGAGAAAGCAAGACGCAGCCTATCTGTAGATATATATATATGGCATGGAGACGGGGGTGAGTCACTGTTACTTGTCTAATTATCTACCCTTCTATCCACTAACGCCTCGAGCCACTTCCTCATTGCTTCGTTCACTTTCTTTATTGTTTCTGTCCTCTCTTTTCTCATTCTATGTCTAATCTCGTCCCTGGTCCACCCCTTTATTTAGACACCCCTCAATAATTTGCCAAAAGAAGAAGACTCTTGTACAGTGTGAAGTCCATGCGGGCTGCTTCAAACATTTAGTCTCAAGAGCTTTTGACTTTTTAATTAGATTTAAATGTTTCGCTATTAATTAACTGTCGCTTTTGATATTGCACCCGGAAAATTATCTTAAGGAGTATATGTTTAACTGTATAAGAGTCTTTTTTTTTTCAAGTTTTTTTGGACTAAAATAATATTTTTTCACGTCTGGGGGGATGAATAAAATCTCATATTCTGAAAGTAAAGTAAGAAAAAAACATACGAGAGATTTAATATGTTGTACGTGGGTATTTTCAACATGTTTCAATCTTTCGACCAACTTTTGATGGACGGAAAAGTGACTCCATTTTACCGATGATGAAAAAAAAAGTAATATATATGGGCAGAAGTGGAACACGGAAATTTAAATCCTTACGAATGATTTGACAGACTCGGGGAAAAAAGCTGAAATTTCCGATACGACATAAAAGAGTGGAAAAAAGAGAGTCAAGCTTTTTGTTGAGTGGCAAAAGCTCAAAGTTGTTCGAGTGTGACGTGTATTCTGTCAGACTAACATACTTTAAAAAGACAGTGTGGTTTTATGTGTTGACTGTGAATGGGTAAAAAGATGCATAGGCTGAAGAATGTAACCAAGCGAGTTTGGTTTATTTCTTTGTTACGGAAGAAGAAATATAAGAAATAAAAATAAAGTTTAAAAACATTCTGTTCCATTGGTATTATCAGCCACGTGCACTCATCGAAGTAGGCGGCGCGTGAATACTTTCAACCTCCGTAAAACTCATTCCAACCTTGGTCTTTTTCTCTTACTCTCACATACCTCGTTCCCTAGAGAAGCCACTTCTACGTGTAAGGGGATGGAAAAAGCCCTGGGTGATGAGCCAGAGTTGCTCTTCGCTTTTGGCCGTACTGTTCGGTGCCCTAGGGCTTCGGCAAATGGAAAGAAGTAATAAACGATCTACTTTTGTGGGCGGGGATATGAGACTAGTCCGATTACTCTATATAACTGCTAGGCAATTTAAGTTAATAATTGTTGAAAATAAAAAAATATGCTGGTGAAAGGTTAATAGCTATTTTCGTTTAAAAGTTACTTGTACGAATTTAATCCAAGATAAAAAAGTACTGAAGGATCTAATACTTTTCGTAAAATACTCGATAATAAGTTGATGAATAATCACTTTAACTTCTTCATTCTATTCAAT